AAAAGTCATGCGCCTAGAGCTCCAGTTTTTGGAAATGGTTCGAATGCAATAACGTATGTCGCGTATAGACATGAGATGGTGTCTAGAGAAGTTTCTTTTGCGCTCTCTCCGACTAGATTCCTGCTTAAGAATGCGGCGTACTGTTCTTCGAGGGATATGGGTCTCTGAGACAATCTCGCGTTGCGACTTTCCCTGGCGCTGTAGGGATCGAATGACTGCACGTGCAGGGGTAGGCCATTCATTATTCTCTTTCTCGATAGGATCACTTAGGATAAGAGGTGTCTCCATCTTGAATTATGGACTGATTCCTAAGAGGGTTGTTGTGTAGTAAGGGTTTTAAAATGGGGTGTAGAATTTTTACGCGTTACCGCGTCTCGCTTAAGTGGGCCATTCCCGGTGGCCTCAGCTCTTACATACCTTCATCAGCAAATGTAATCTATCAGGGAAGTCGCTTAGAAATCTTACTCTTCGTCGTACTGTTGAAACTTCTCATCTCTATGTCTTTGCTCCTACTCGGGCATCAACACTTTCCTCTCTTCTAGATTCATTTCGATGTAATATTGTTGAAATAATGGGTTCCACGAAAATAGCAAATAGATTTCAGAACAGTTACTTCCTGTCGTTGACTGGTGAGGTGAACCATTGACACTATTCAAAGCAGGTAGAAACCGCATCTGTCATTTCCAGCTTATGCTCTTGAAATAGCGAACTTTTACCCTGTAGAAAGGGCTGATTGCAGTCCACCACTCCATGATTGTTGCCAATTGTTGTTGAAGAATCGATTTGAAATTTGTTTGGCCCTTATCGAGAATTCCATTGAAAAGTCTGGAAAGGAGGAGAACTCATTGTAGATTGCGTGATATTACTTCTGGCTCTCCTTGGGTCTCCTACTTTCCACTAGGTATTCCCAAGTCCTCATCCCTAGCTCTCGCAATCTTAACCTATGCTTCTGTGCTGAGATTGCGTGTATAGATCTTAGTGATTGAGTGGATATATTCGTTCGATTTGACTCCGAATAAACGTCCTGTCTTGTTTGGTCTTGCTTATGTGGAAACAGTACTGCTCTATACTTCAGAGCCGTGGGAGCTCATTTCTGACAGAGATCGGTAGACTTGTATACGATATCGTGTATAGAGGACGTTCGAAATTTGGAATTTGTGGAGATGGATATTCGTAGACATTAACGGTGATACTAGATCCTGTCGGAGCCCCCTAAGCGGTTACATATCTGTGAATTTGTTTTGTTAGCTAAAGGCATAATATTCCATTAACTCAGACAATAGGGTGAAGCTCTCTATCCAAAGCTCCAATACCATGTCAATTGCATGACCTCCAACTATCTTTGGTATAAAGGTCTGCAGCTGAGCTTCTGGTTAATGTTCGGATTGCGCCGACAGCTAGTTACTTGAGCGTCTACTTGACCGTCATCCTGCTGCTGCTGCTGCAGGCAAGAATATTCTAAGCTCCCGGGACTTGAAATAGCCACAAAGTAGGGTTGATACAAAAAGTAGATTCGCGAATCTCGATAAGAATCGAATGCCCGAGAATCTTAACGACCAAATCGCGCTAAAAGACTTGATGTTAGGCAGGCTACCCTCCTATATAATCCAAATATTTCCACACAACCTCATCTACGCAACCACGTCTACACAGCAACAATACCAACAAAAGTCAACCAACAGCACAAACGTACCAAATGGAAAAATTCGACGCCACAATAACGAATTACAACCACCTAAACGGTGTCGAGCTTGGCAAAGCGCTCCACGCCTATCCTACCGGACGCATCGGCAACGATGGGAACAAGAAAGATTTGATCATGAGCCTTTGCAACGCGGACATCAAACGGGCGAAGGAACGGCTGGAAGAGTTGAAGAAAATCGAGGAGGAAGATGCTGATTGGTTGGCTATTGATGAGACGTACACCAGAGTGTTCCAGGGATGGGTGAAGGAGGCGAATGACATGATTGAGGCAATGGAAGATGCGAAGAAGGAGTGTGATGCTAATAAGGTTTGTACTTGAAGGTATCTCTCATTTCAGCAAGGCTAATTTGCTTGATAGAAGCTCTATTACATGTGAGGACGTGGGGAGTCGATGGGCGTCAGTCGATGTATTACGTCGAGCTCCAGCTATACAACGAGGGTTCTCATCATAGTCTGAGATTCTGTGGACTCTGGGACGCACTGGGATGTTAGCAGAATAAAAAGAACTTTTGAGTCGGAGAAATAATGTGGCAGCGGATGATCGACAAGCCACCAACCTCACCAGCTTTACTAGCCTCCGCTGATCTACAGATCTACACAAGCTAGTTTATTTGCCAACTTTTCTCTTCTTCGCTTCTCAAATTCAATTCCTGATATATACGACTCTTTTGTCCAAGATGGATGTCGACGAAGAAAGCTCCTCTCCGGTTCTCGACAAGGCGTCCATCCTAGCTAGCTACGCTCCTTCAGAGGCTCCTTTCTCACTCCCTGACACTCTCCCCAGCTCACCAACGACAATCTCATCACCGATACCCCTCCCAGAGACAACCGAATCAATCGAATATTCCTACACCGAGCCCCTCCTCCCTTCAACCCGCACCGTCAAAGTATACCACAAAGACATCGCCCCCCTCCTCTCTTCAGCCGGTGTCCGTGGTCTCAGTACGTCAAATTCTGTCCTTTTGTATTTAACTTAGGAGCCAAGATCTTCAGCAAGCTCCTCGGTTGCGCCAAAGAAGATATTGTTTCAACTCCTCGACTCTTAAATTTCTTTCAAAAGTCTATACTAATCTGTCAATAGTCACAACCGTCGTCCATGGAACCTACTCCTCTCGCCCCGCAACTCTAATCCTATTCTCCTTCTCCTTCCGCTCCGGGGACCACGGATTCCGCTTCAAAAACGCAAACATCAAGATCCAATTCTCAAACCGTCCTTCCTCGAAACCAGAAGAAACGAGTCCCGCAATCGCGACATTCGCACCAAGGAAAATCTACGGTCTCCCCACGAAAGAAGGAAGGAAGAACACCATCGGCGGCGAAATCTCGCTTCAAGTGCCCGCTGGACCGCTGACTGTTGGTCCTACGTTGAATGGGTCGCGAGAAAGTGAGTGGGAGCAGACGCACCGGTATAAAACCGTAGGGAACTTTTGGAGCAGTAAGTATGGCACAGACTGGGATATCGTGTATTGGGATATGAAGGAGAATAAGAGGACGAAGGAGGGCATTCCGGATCGGTTGAATGTGGGAGTTGTGGTGGAGAGGGAGGAGGTGGGAGCGTTTACGGCGAGTGTGGATATTGAGGTTGATACGCCGGTGTTGAGTGGGGCGTTTAGTAGTCCGTGGGAGAAGAGGCGGCCGGCTGCTTTTGTGCCGGGCGTGGAGATGGGGAAGTGGAAGAGGACGAGGAGGTTCGAGGAGTTGAGTGAGAGGGATTGGAGGGAGCTGGTTCCGTTTGAGGAGGAGTGGGAAAGTGTTTTTGTGGGGGAGAGGATGAATAGGAGTTTGGAGGTTCCTGGTGCTTGGCCTGGCGGACCTCATGCTGCCCAGAATGATGGAAATGATGGAGACGTTGACTTTGTTAGAGTCAAGGTTGACATAGGAGAGCAGGGAGAGCATTGAACAGAAGAGGATATAAGATAACATCTGCAAAGTCAGGTGGAGAAGATGTTGAATTGATGGAGCTTTTGTCCTTGAATGATATCCAAATTACCCTTACCAAACTCTTCCAGTGAAGACCCTAAACGCCGTGCAATGCAGTCTTCGAAAGCGACAAGCACAGACTGTAATAGCTTCATGAGCGCCAGTCAAGGCGATACGCCCTTTGTTTACACCAGAGCAATTTCCCACAAATCCCTCTCCTACGCACTCTTCTGCTTTTCAGTCAACGCAACAACTGGTCTAAAACTACATTAGCGCTAACCAACTTTCAAAATGGAATACTTTACTCACACAGCAGCCGCCACAGATTTCTTCTCATGCCCATGAGACGTCTCACCCATCTCATCCGTCTCGCCCTCAAAAACCATCAGCAGCGCCGGCATCAACCCAAAAAGTCCCAAAACCAGACACCCCATCCCCGCAGCCAGTGGATCCGTTTCCCAAACCCACTTCGTCACGCCCCTCTCATACAACACTATCCCACCCGCCAATTCCGCAATCACCAGAAATCCCAAAGCTACGCCGCCGATTGCGATCCGGAATCCTCTCACGCGAGGGACTTCGTAGGCCACGATGGTCCAGCGGGCCCAGAGTGTGATTAAGAGGAGCCAGAAGGGCATGGTCACGAGCTCTGCTTGGGGCACTGTGAGATGATTGATGGGTTGGAGGGTGGAGAAGCGGAAGTAGGCGAGGAAGAGGCCGGAGAGGAAGGTGAGGAGGAAGTAGACAAAGGCGATGCGGAGGATGAAGAGGGTTAGGGCTATGTCCCAGAGGAGTTCGAAGACGGAAGTGCTGGTTTCGAAGAGAATCATTTTGAAGGTTGGTTGAGGCACCTTATTTTCTGTTGGTGTTGTGGTTTGGAGGTTGGATGTTGTTTGGTTGAAAAGTTTGATATTCGAATGCAAAGTGTGTTGTTTTATTTGTTGTTTAGATTGTATAAGATAGGTAGGGATAGGAAGGATCGGAAATACTTATACCAAAAATCAGGAGTCATGATATTTCGATGTCATGTTCACGTGCAGTGTGTCAGGCCACTGGTGGGGTGATTCGCTGTGAACGAAATTCGGGAACAGCTGAGGAAAGGAAGAGCATGGCCGTCTTATGCGGTAATTAGAAGAAACATGGAGAAGCGTTTTTCGGTTTCGGCATTGATCCTGGTTAGTAGCTGGTCGTGTGGTCATGGTGATGTGGTCCTTTTGGGCTTGAGATATCAGGGGAAGCATGCGCCACAATTGCTGAAGGTTGAGACATCTGCCCCACTTACCCTATGCGTTCGCGAGTCATCACGAGAACTTGAGTAAATGAACATTTGTATAAATAATCGTAGGCTAAATTGTTATCATGTCTGTCATAACTTTCATTATCCAATCTTGGTTCTAACGAACCTCTTCTATGCTTGCCAGCCACGCCCTGGGTCCGTCGAGGGGTTCCTCTGCAGTGGACTCAATGGGTATTTTGAGATGTATTCTTTGCTCCGGACAGTAAATCCCTTCTTGAGAACAAGCTTTTGCTCACTCGAATCGGAAAGCCAAGTATCTGTTCGCTCTAACTCGATGGAAACGGGATCACTGATCTTGTTGCGCTGGCTTTGTGAGCCAATGGCTGTTTCTCGTCTGCCAGTGACTTGTGTCGGTTTCGTCTTGCCGGACCCAGATCTACTGGCCATGAAATTCGGGGGAATACTTTGTGAATAAGTGGTCGTATTGTTGGAGCGCAGGCGCAGATGATACCTATGCAGCATTCCAATACAGACCCAAATATCGAACTCCCCAGTGATCCAGGTTATGTCGATACTATCGCCGACACTAAGGAGTGTTGATATGCGTGCAATGGATGCGATTATAACGAGGATTCCGAGACTGAGAAGGCCCATCAATGCCAACTTCTGCTTTCTTGGGATTTCTAATGTCGACACCACAGGTACAACCATCAATATCATCCAGGCGTCCGTGATTGTCTGAAGTGCAGTGGAAGCTTTAATGACTGGTTGTGCCTGGAAACACATAACGTTGGCGGCGATGAAAGGTCCTCCGGTGACAGAGTTGCATTGAAAGATATCTCCTGCGAGAAGTGGAGCGCTGAAAGTGGTTACAAATACGATTGTACCCCATGTCAGCCATTTCTCTCGTCGAGCAGGAAATACCCTTCAGTAGAAGACGAGAATGGAAAGTTTCGTAAAACATATTGCCAGCTAGTAGCAGATAAATGAGAAATAAGTGACCTTGAACGATTCGAGGATAAGGTTCGGAGGAACGTCTTGAATGTGGTGTCCTTGACCGAAGAGTGTACCGATATCGAGTAAGATTGTCAAGATTAGAGTGAAAACCCATGCAATAACAATCAATGTATCATCCCAGCTCCATCGACCAATGACGACAACTCGAGATATAATTCGGCCAACGAGAAAGAAGACGACCAATATTTGAGGAAATATTGTACCACCAAGTATACCGGATACTTTGCTTTCGCCAGGTATCTGTAGTATCAGTTTAGTGGTTTCTCTCCAGCTACTCAACCTGGACTTACTGGCTGGAAACGTGGTATAACCATTTTCATTCACATAAGTTCGGAAATAATATCCGCTCGCACTTTGAAGAAGAGGGGAGGCTGCATACATATGTAGAGGAGCCAGTCGTTTTAAAGCCAAGGCCGTAGATTCCCCAAAGATTCTAGGAGCCCCTAGTAAGTCGTATCTAGATCTGTTTCTCTGTAAGCTGTCAGGAGAATTAAACTTCCGATTCGATGTAGACGATCATTCTAAAGTAGGGATCCCTATCTCAGGAAAGACTGTATGCTGTTGGAATTGCTTACTGCCAATGGCGTGGCAGGAGATCATCAAACAAACGGCATTGAACACTCATCCGCTAGCAGCATGCGGAGATCATAACGAATAACATAGCCTTGCTAGGAAGCGTTTTGACAGCCACAGAATTCACGATTCGCGCATGGTCGCAAGGCTTTTCTGCAATCTTTTGAACATAACCAATTGATCAAATTCCCGATGTTCGATTGCCATGAGTTCGCAAAGATTGATCGATTTGGCTAATAGCTTTTGGATGTGCAGCAACGTTTGGACCAGATAGGGCCCAAGAGTGCAGACAGTGCCGAGTAAGGAAACGACAAACTTACACATCATGAACTGGAGGGCATTCGTCCACGGGCTCAAAGGAATGGCGGACTTGATCGATTGATCGAAGCCAAGAAAGTTTCGCCTTGCGGGGTCAGCCCTGGAACTCATGACTTGCAGCTGCACTAGTCAAAACTGAAGCATACCTTCGAAGTCAATCTGGGAACGGGCCACTCCACTTACCAATGATGCTCCAAGAATGGTGGTAGGCCATGATTTAGAGTAGGACAGCGCAACGGTTTGCTACCAAGCATTACGCAACACCGAGTGGGGATGAACAGAGAATTCTGACTCTCGGGCCATCATTTAGCAGCATGCGTATTCGTGGTTGGAAGGTAAAGAGAAACGACGGTACTATTGCGTAGCAGAGGTGTCCAACTCGTTCGTAATATGGTCCGCGACGATACCAGGATAGGAACAGATCCACTAGCTCCAGCAGAGCACGAGTCGAGTAGGCCAAGTCGACTTATGGGATGTCCTTTCCCGGAAATCCAATTCCGAATCGGCGACCTGGAAGTCTAAACCATTGTCACGGAGTTTGGGGCAATGCCAAAAAGGATCTTGTGGCTGGAGATTAAGAGTTCCCGACGTGGAGGGCGAAACTCTGGCTTGTAGATATGTTCGGATGACATCCGAGCGCGAGAACCACAGGAGAAGCGGCTATATTTTCAAAGCATGTGAACCAAGCCAGTCGAACAGTGTTTTTAAAAATGATAGGTATGAAATCATCGACGAAACAAGTTCCACCAGCCACAAGTAGTGAGTCCAAGAGGATGAGGTACACTCGATAGATCCCGAATCTTGGAATTTATGCTGTAGAGGCCAGCTTGGTGACAGAGAAACAGAGAACGAGGGTTGACGAACCTGGTCCCCAGTCCGAAGAATGAAGATGCTGTAGCAATAGATTATCAGATTCAATTGGTTACACGAATATGGTTCATACATAAAATGCCCAAGACTGATTAATAGCTTTTGCAAATGACCTCTCGTACTGTACAAACACGGAGAGAAGGCGGAATGGAGTATTTGAGCATTATACCTCTATCTTCCAATAGAAACTTACGATTCGCCAGGGAGAGTATCCATACCACTACCTACGTTACTCTAGGGGGGTGAATTGAGATTGTCGTGGACTGTGTCGACTCGTCCTAATCTCCCGGTCAGAACTTCGTTCTCTACGTCGAATTATAGGCTAGATTGCCCCTGTTGATGGAGTCCATTTGGCTTCGGACTCCAATATGCTCGTCGATGAGTGTATGGTAAACACGATTGTGATTGTTGGTGACTTCCGTGGACAATCAAGCAAAATAGAAAATAGAAAATGTACTCCACCAAACGCGTTTCTCATGGGTCCGTGCACCAACCGCCGAAAACGCGCATGTGACTACGCGATTTCTCGACCCCCGTTGCCTAGCCATCCTTTCACCACAATGCTCAAAACTCCTAAGCTCACCCTTTGCTTGTATCGGTTTTTGAGTCATGAATTATATCCCAATCAGCAGTCATGAGCGATATCGCAAGAGGAAACGTCGAGATACTCGTATATACGACGGCGCCAAGCCTGGGAAGAGATGACACGCGGTATCGAGCACTTGCTCAAGCATATCTGGACTTCCGACCTGCAAAACGACGCTGGTTGGGAGATATTCCTATCGATGCAAACTCGCAAGATATAAATATACGGGCTGGCAGTCAGTCTCATCAATCTACACAAGAGGAGAGAGAATCGGAAGCATCATGGCGACCCGACGAGGACGGACCCGAATCAATGTCGCAACAACAGCCACAAAACGATTTCGATCGGCAGGACATTACAGATTTACTCAATTCACCAGACCTATCATTCATGAGTGTTATGGACAACAGAGCATCTCCAGCATTTCGAGGACAGATCACGTGTCGTCCCGCTGGGTCTCAGAGCAGCAGAGGATCTTGGCAAGCTCCTAGGAGCGAAGTTCCTGATTCACAACCCGATATCATTCCTACACTAGCCGCTTTCTCTACTCCAACAAGGATCCTAGAAGTCTTTTTGCAAAATCAAGACAATTCTCAATCCACGTCCCTCTCAGGCCCTTCACCGACAAGCGACAGGCACCACTCCAGCGGCCTCAAGATTCGACTCAGCAGCCAGAAATCATCCATTTCATCTTCACAAGCACGTCAAAGAAGCTCCAATGAGCAGAGTAGCAGTCTGGAAGCTAGCAATGAAGGCCGTTCATCGTCACAGAGTCTTCCGCAGAATCGAAACGAAAACGGTAGTCCGGAACTTCGTGGCAGCATCGAGAAGTCTTCTGCTTCTGAAACAAATCCTCCAACCGAATCTCATGGAAAGAGTAGCCTGGAGGTTGAAGTCGGTACAAATGGATCTTCGAGATCATTTTATGCGGTTCAGATGCAGAATCAGAATGGAGATATTCCTTCAGTGGGTATCATCAATACTAGCGACCCTCTGTCCTCTTTTGACGTCCTAGCCGTCACTTCATCTCCTTCGCCGGTCAGAGCCCCACCAAAGCCACCACTGCGAGTTCTCAGGAGCAAAAGTCCCAACACTCCTGTCGTGCAAGAATTTCAGCCTGGTAAAAAGCGAAAGCTCCTTGGCTCGATCCCTGAAACTCAGATACCGGCATCTGCACCACCAGCTCTTGCTATGGATGACCTCCAGTCTACAAGCAGGCCTGCTAAGAAGCCGCGCTTAGAACCTACGAGTTCCATGATTGAAGCCAGAACCAGGATTGCTCCAAGTTCAGCACCGGTTCCACAGAGTCCCAAACTAAAAACTACAATATGGACAGACCGGCTAGAGATACGACCGCGCCCTCCAGAAACTTCAGTAGGAGAGTTAAAAGCAGAGATGTTGATCTCGCCTAAGCTTCACACCGCAGCACAGAGGATGCCTCTTGCGAGTTACTTTACTCCGATCAAGCAAACCCGAGACTTGCTCCCCATGGAGAGAGGATATTGGCTAGTCAACTGCAGCACTTGGACTGAAGAAGTTCGAGTTGGATGCTGGAATTTCCTTGGAGAATTGGTTGGAAACGGGCTTGCTGGTTGGGGCGTTTGGTGTGTCAGGGATGCGCAGTTTGAGACGATACGGGTCTATTGTTGGGGGATCGTGGTTGGACATATTTATCTGGTTTTGATAGCTGGGAGCTATAATAGAATCAAGAAATCGGATGCGAGTTGGATAGCGGGGGATGGGAAGACTATTATCAGAATGCCATCATGACGTTATGCACTTGATAACTGCTCTACTTTTGTTCTTGACTTGTGCTGTGCCATGTTCAAGTCTTTGAACTTAAGAAGTGCTGCAGAGTCAGCTATGATATCCTCAATTCAAGGCTTCAAATCCACCTCTATCATTAACTAGATAGTTTGCTAGAAATTTGTCCCAAATTTTGCAATTATTCATTCACCCGTTGAATTGGAGTATCCACACCCCGGGAGCCGACAGACTACGAGTATATAATCTTCTCTCCTCTCCTTCTTCACCATTTTCTACAACTAAGTACCGGGGACCAACTCCAGCTTCTCAACTGGTTGTGCAGTTTCTGCCAGTGTGGCCACGGATCACAGACTGTGCTTCCCTGTCTTCCCTGCTGCATCCTAGCTCTGAGCAAATAACCAAGATTTCAATGCTGCTGTTGCCAACTATTCATTGTTGCCGTGCGTTACTGTTTGTCACCAATTGTCGGTTGCAAAGAGGGGTTGTGATCAGTGAAAAGCACCGAGCATTCGTTCAACCATAGCATATGTTGAGACGAGCAAGCCAAAGGGGGTTCAAGCGAGAACATGCGAATAAGCGTGGTTAGGCTGTGGATGCTCGTTTTGAAAAGGATGCGATGTTCAAGCGGAACCCCTTTGTGTTGCGCTTGTCCCTGTCCGGCAGAGTTTTAATGTTGTTCATAACTGCAGTTGTAAGTCTCAACATGTAATCACACTCAAAGGAAGTACAAGTGCCAACAAAATATCAATTGATAAAGCTAGCTTGAATCCACATTACTAGTGGTAACGATAGTAGATACCCCCCAAAACCATGTCACAGACCCAAGAGGAAATAAAATCAAAAAGAGACAATGTTGTTACGCCCAAAGTCGACACCAAGACCACCATTTTCCGATCCATGCTATGCGATGCTCCGCGCCCACACCCAGCCCAAGACCAAGGAGAAGAGGAAAAGAAAGTATCGGTGGGTAAAGACGCGAGATATCAAGTTAATGACTCCCGCTCTCAAGATCCCCATTGAGAAATGATATTTAAGCTTTGGCGGGCTTGGTTGCTCCGTTGCCGGTATTGGAACCAGTGTTAGATCCCGTGTTAGATCCGGTGTTTCCTGTATTTCCCGTGCTGCCAGTACTGCCAGTGCTCCCGGTGCTTCCAGTAGACCCATTATCAGCACCAGTCGGGTTGCTAGTAGTAGGAGTCTGCGTAGGAACCGAAGCACAAGCCTTGTCGTAGGCTACAAGATTAGAGCTCGTCTGGGTAGGCACCGAAGCGGCAGCTACAGAGTAAAGAATACACTCATCAGCATTATTGACCATTCCGAAGACGAACGACTCGCAAGCTGAGTTGGCGTCACATTGTGCTTGGCAGTTTGCAGCGGTGGTGATCCCAGCCGGTGTTGAGAGGGGTGCTTGGGATGTTGTGCCCGTGGGTGAGCTGCCGCAGGTGTCTCGCTTGTGGTTTTGGTTGCCATTTGTAGAGCCGCCACCGTTGTTGGTGCCGGTGTTGGATGTCGAGGTGGCTGCGCCGGTGGGGTTGGACGTGGTAGGGACGACGGCCGGGATTGAAGAGCAGGCTTTGTCGTAGACGACCAGGTTGCTGGATGATTGAGTCGGAACGGATGAAGCTGCTACGGAGTAGAGCATGCATTCGACAGTGTTATCGACCATGCCGAAGACAAAGGATTCACAGGCCGAGTTGGCTTCGCATTGAGCTTCGCATGCTTGAGCGGTTGTGATGCCGGTTGGTTGAGAGATGGGGGTTTGACTGCCGCTGGCTGAAGGTGCACTGCCGCAGGTGTCTCTGATGATGAGCATGGGAGAGGCGGAAACGGAAGCAAGGAGGCCGGATGCGGCGATGATGGCAGTGAAGGCGTGCATATTGATGATAGAGTGTTGGAGTGTTGGAAAGGTCGATTGGTAGTGACGATGAGGGAATAAGTTTACTGGAATTCGAAGAATGCGAGAAGGAAAAGTAAGAAAGCTAGGTAGGAAAGATGAGGAAAGTCGATTATGAAAATGATGCTGATGATGAGGGTGAGGAGAGAAGACTTCGAGCAGGATTCATCTTGACTTTATAGAATATCCTGTCGGGCTGTGTTCTCCAAGTAGCTTCTTGCTCCACAATGAAGCATGAGAATTATTCTGAGTGTATCGTGATGTCTCTTGCTCTAACTGCCAAGGGTATTCGTGGATGTAGAAACGCGTTCGAGGTGACGTGAGTGCTCAGCCCAGCAAGGAAGATCAAGATGCTAACCTATTCTAATCTAATAGGAACACGGGGAAACAATGAATCAATTAGATTGGAGTAGTACATTTAGCAGAGGAGTTGATGGTAGTGAGTGGACGTTTCGCTTAGCATTAAGGCTGAGGCGTCTCCCCTGAGACGATCACACTGGGTGACTTTCTCCACCACACAATACCATATTCGGTGGACCAAAATAGACAACCGAACGGCATTTGTCCAGAAATCATGAGTGAAACTTGCTCTTATCCAAATTGACTCGTGGGGCCGCTTAACTAAGTTCAAGCTTGAAAACTGGAACGATGACCTCCTAATATTCGGACACTCGAACACGTACATGTACTCAGGTGACTTATTTCTGTCAAGGCTGATTTTGCTGCTGCTTGACATCTAACGTTTTCAGCGACGACGACTTCTGTCCAAGCTGAATGAACGACTTGTTTCATAAAAAGTTTATGACAGCAACTATGCTTCGGGCGACGTATTGTCACTGAAAACTTGACAGTAATCGTCCTGTGCCAGACTTGCCAGAACCTTCAACCAAAAAGCCGAAATCTTACGAGATAGATTCATGGACATGCATTGAAAGTTGCGTGGCAGATCATGAATTTGCATCACCGACTGGCGATCAGCACAGCCTTCTAGAACAATACTCAATGCGCCAGAGAGGTCGTCTTTGCGTCCACCCCTAAAGGCGAAGTGATGTGAGGTCCACTGGGAGTCATGTTTCATGCAAGACATTCAAGCCCTGAAGACCCTGAAAATGCTAGCCTGAGGCTCTGGTGTCAAGGTAGACAGCGAACAACTAGTAAATCAAACACCCAATTCATGACAAAGATTGGTACTGAGCGATTCAAACTCATTGAAGACAATAGCAAAAATTAAAAGATAATTAAAAAGATGTCAATTGATGTCAAGACGTGAAGTTCACTTTGCCTCTGCGGCTAAACAAGGATCACCAATCCCTAGCGCGCATCCCCAGAATTTCCATTCATCCCCTGATGCAGAAACCCATCGCTGACCACCATCGAGTCAACCTCACCTCGAGCTCCAACACCACTCCTCCACAATGGCACCAATTCCCTCCTCCCAAAAAAAGCCATTGGGCAATGTAATGGTAATCGGCGGCTGCGGCTTCCTGGGCCACCACATCGTCGCCCAGCTCGTCGAGTCCTACAATTGCAAAGTCTCCGTAATCGACATCCGCACCGTCCGCAACCGACGCGATGGCGTGCAATACTTCGACGGGGACATCACGTCCATGGAGTCCCTTCTGCCGATTTTCCAGAAGACGAAGCCGGACGTGGTGATTCATACCGCGTCCCCGCAATTGCATGGCGGCTCGAAGGAGCTGTATAGAAAAGTCAATGTCGACGGCACCAGATGTGTGATTGAAGCTTGTCAGGAGACGAATGTGAAGGCATTGGTGTATACCAGTTCTGCGAGTGTGATTCATGACAATGCGTCGGATTTAATCAATGCGGATGAGAGGTGGCCTATTATACCAGCAAAGTCGCAGACGGAATATTATTCTCAGACTAAGGTAGCTATTCTCCCCAGCCCCTTTCTACGCTACGAATTCTGGAAAATGAAACTAACAACCTTAAAGGCAGAAGCAGAACTCCTCGTTCTCTCAGCAAATCGCTCCCTGACCAACCCCTCCCTCCTAACCATCTCCATCCGCCCCGCAGGAATCTTCGGCGAGGGCGACATGCAATGCCTCCCGCCCATAATGGCCGTCTACGCCAACAACCAAACCGATTTCCAGCTCGGCGACAACACCAATCTCTTTGACTTCACCTACGTCGGTAACGTCGCGCACGCACATTGTCTCGCCTCTTTGGCTCTCCTCACCACTTCAACCATGAAGATCAAGCCTTTAGACACCGAGAAGGTGGACGGCGAAGCTTTCTTCATCACGAATGACCAGCCAGTCTATTTCTGGGATTTCGCGAGGGCGATTTGGAAAGCTTGCGGGAGTGAGAAGGGCACTGAACATGTGTGGGAGATAAGTCAGGACGTTGGGTTGATGATTGGAGGGATCTTGGAGTGGGGTATGTGGGTTGTTGGGCGCGCGCCGAAGTTGACGAGGAGGCAGGTTAAGTATAGTTGTATGATAAGGTATTATGATTGTGGGAAGGCGAAGAGAAGGTTAGGTTATCGACCTCTGACGGGATTGCCGGAGGCTATTGAGCAGTCGGTGAAGTTTATATTGGAGGAGCAGAGAGTTGAGAGGGAGAAGAAGGGTCAATGAGCTTGAGTTAGAAGGCTGGGTAGGGCACTGTACATTGATGTACTTTAATAAAACGTAATTAATTCACAGGATATCATTTGAAGATATTCCATCACATTGAGAAAGGCAGTGGATCCCGAACGAATCATGCATATCAATTTGCTAGACGCCGAAACCCCATTCCACGAGGACCTAATTTCCCAGCCCGCAGACTTCCTAATAACTCCTCGAAGTCCTATTTGTCAGGTATGACGCCGGCCAGTTGCAGACAATATGCACATTCGCTTAAATCAGGAACGGGAACGCTAAAATTCAAATTCGTAAAGTTCTGGTAGCATCTGCTCAAGTGAATGCTCGCTTAAAATCGCATGGTGGCTGGAAAGCAAATTTGATGGGAAGCTGAACATCATTCTCTGGTTAAGGAGTTAGTATGTTGAATATATAAGAGCTTCGAAGTACTTACTCCATGCTACGCTGAACTGCTCGACGAAGCTTGCGGTTGTAGAGTTTCTTATCATCTGCTGAACCCCAGTACAGCTTAGCGGCTTCTGGATTTACCAAGGTTCGTGGGTCATAAGGTGGCTCCTCTTCTTCCAACGCCTCGATGATGGCATCGATATGGGACTTGACATCTTCAGATCGCTTAGAAGTGTAGCATGGTGTTCCGTCAGAAGCAATTCGGTGATGGAAAAGCTGGGTTTCGAATTTCGCTCTAGGTTGCTCTTCAGGAAATCGTGGGCTGAAGAATAACTTGATCCTGAAGAGGCCACCATCCAGATTGGTCATGGGTCGACCGAAATAGGTAATGGCCCACACGAAAGGATTCTTATCAACCAGCTCAACGTCGAGAGTGACGGTCTTGTCTCGCTTGTAAGACTCCACAACTTGTTCGTATTGTCGTTGAAGATTCGACGCAACACTACTCTCCTTCTTGATCGAAGCTAGTCCTTCTTCTGCCCATCTTGCTGTCTCGACCTTCATTGTCTTGTGAATGAGCCTCAGACGACGTTCGAGTTCCGTATAGTTGAACTTGCCTTCCATAATGTTCCCTGAGCATTCGAACGGCATGCGAGTGAAGCTTTGCTCATCTTCCGCTTCGGACTTTGCCTTGCTTATTGCGAGTAAGTATGAATCGAAGTACCATAGGAATCGACGTTTGCATAAATCTCGGAATGGGTCGAAACTAGCCGATGCCTCGTCGAATGCGTCGCGGTCCATCTCATGCATTTCCTCGTCGATGTCATCCTCTTCGTTAATGGAAGGGACCTGTTGTACTGCTCCATCTGCAGAAATTCCCAAGTAATCCTCTAATCTTTGGATAACGGAAATTCGAAGACTTTCATGGCGAATCTGCCATCGTCAGCTTCAAGTCCTTGATATGTAAATATTTCCGCACCTTGGCAACGTATGCCTTCTGATTCTTCTTGTCATCATCGGTGTTCGCCGTCTCGAAACCTGGTTCGTTCTCGTAGGGATTCGATGACATTAAACTTTGGATTGAGATCAGGATAGATTCCAGTCCCTGTGCCGACGACCATTCTTCTCCTCTTTCGCCTCTCCAAGTTCTATATCCAGAGTATTAGCCTCGATGTTCGTAGCACTTTTCAATTTGTCCTACCCTAAGATGGATCTGTTTCATGTTAGCTATGGTATGTAAGCGGAGGTTTGGCAGACAACATACAAACAAACTTTGCCGCCCGCATAGATGTTTGGGTTGAAGCGACATCTGCCACCATTTGTGGTTGTAGCATTGACGGAGGGTGCTTTTCCTGGGTAGTCTGGATTGATCTGTCTCAGCCCAACGCCATTAGAATTCCACGAGAGGTCATACCTTTTCCGAACTTCACGGCAAACTAGTAGCAGATTAGTATGTGTTTGCGAATCTCCAAAGGTATTCAACTGACCTCAAAGAAGCCGAATTCGTATGGGGTGTCTGGAGGGCCGATAATGATGGCCTTGACGTTGCGAACATCGATATCACGGCATGCAACCGCAAGAGCTGTTTACATTCATTAGAGACTTCCTTGGGGATCGCCAAGCTATTGCAAGATTACTTACAGAGGTCAGACGACTTCTGAAGGTCGGAGAGCTCCTATAGTGTTGTCAGCCTCGCGGGATGCGACCCCACTACGTGGAAACGAACTTTTGATATGCGGACAATATAAGAATTGTTAGACATTGTCGATCACGGATCAGCCACAGTGTCCAAATATTCTCTTTTCTTGAGGAAGTTCATATGGTGGGGAGAAGTCGAGATGGTAATGAGTACAAGAGTTTGGAGTGGGGAAGAAGTTGTAGGCGCAGAGCAAGGCAGGCGAGGTTGCCCGCTAATCTAGCGCATGCAAGAATGGCCAACATGAGGCTGAACTGAGCTTTATCGCTGCCGATAATTTAGAGGAAAACGTCATAGCACGTACAACTTTCTCTTAAATTCAATGTGTTGTTTCGTTTCTACTTACCCTACGAGACATCTTGAAACTCAACCATGTATCTTATCAGTGCTAGAGACAAAATCGTTCATTGTAAAGAAGGTCCAATATGAAAGTACCTACTGACTCACGCCGTCAGAACGTGGCCAGCATCTGTCACAGCCAACACACAGAATCTGCAGTTGAGACCAGATTCGACACTGGGAATACACCAAGATATGTAGTATGAAGGGCAATGGGATTTGTTTCTGTGTGTGGCAGGATGAGTCTTTTTGAGTATCTGCATGCTGACGACCTTGTTTGATACATCTCAGCTTATTTACCAGGCATGATTCCAAAGAGTTTGGTTCTTTCTCGTAGCAGACAGCGAAGCATTTGTTCAAAATGTGTCTCAATCTGTTAGAAAGGAATACCCCTAAAAGGTTCTGGAAGGAATATATCCAAAATACTTCTGAGCATAGCAATGTTGCATTCTCATGACTATAAATAACTGCTGGTCTAGAATTAAGGTTATTTTGAGAAAGTGGGACTTGCACGCAAATTGTTGTGAGACGTCCAACCAATAACTGGACATGACAACCTCGATGAGTCTACAGATAAAAGTCTTTCTCGCATTGGTTCATATGCAGTGAAGTCCCTGACTGACTAATAACACGGTAGAGAGTGCTGTCCCTGCCGAGACCCAGCCGCTGATGTGCCGACTCGGAGAATGCCTGCCTATCTGAATGCTGCGGAATGCTACGACGGATTGTTGCCATTGTCTATACTTGCAACTATCCGTGCCTCAACATGAGCCACAATAAATATGTTTGGATTTACTAATCAAATATCTTTGACTTCCAGCTGGAGGTTCTTGCCTTCTAATCGCACGTGACCGTGAGGCCAGGAGATTGCCGTCGGTACGTAGGTCATTTTACGATGAGCCTAGTAATTACACTCCAAAGTAGTCTGTACCTCAACCTCCACAATCTGCATCTTGCTTCTCTTCCCGGCGCGTTGTGCAGCACTTGCAGGCAACATTGCGCCTCAGCTTTGACTGTGGTTTCGCACATTCACTCTCTAAATCGAAGTCCTGACGATCGCTCGCCTCCCCCTCGTTCAGACTCGACAACCGCGACTCTTCCTCCACACCGACTTCAACACGCGACCGAACCCTAGCTCGTCGAACACAAGTATCTACCTTCGATGCGCAGAGTCTCGTATTAATCCCAAGAGGCGATACCGAAAACAAGACCTGTTGAATCGTATTGCTTCTCCCGGCGGAGTGTGCTGTTTCAGGTGCTGCGGGCAGGACGTTCCTTGACACTTGAGTCGCCAACTCAGAACCACACATGCAGAGCCCAAATATCTGGACCCATGCGACTCGACAACGTCAGAATCCCATAAGATTTCTGTGAACAGCATTGTATTTGCCATTCACACCTCTGTCGCTCATTACATCCACGCTGGCAAACACTTCGCCAAAAGATTGAACTCGAGTTTGGGCAGTCTTCATAACTACCCTGCGAAACTGCGTTGAGGAAATAGGAGAGAGCGCAGCAGTCTGCATACATCGTGATGGGTCCTCAATCCGAAGGAGGGCCATCTGGCGACGGTCGCAACTTCGGTGGTCAATATACTGCGTACGATCCAGCTCGAGAGGCTGTAAAGGATTATAATGGACACGATGAAGGAAGACGATATCAGTCGGAGAGAAATGTAGAGCAGGACACCACACTTGCGAGACCAAATGCCTTTGGCATGGAGAACAGAATGACCGCATCGCCATCAGGTAGTGCGAGTGGCAGAGAAAGAGATAGAGATGGTCAACCGCCAAAGACTAGCGGGGAGCGCAATCGATCACGGACAAGAAATGGTAGGACTGCGTCTGGGACATTGAGGATCTGCAAGAAGTGCGGTGAACCTCTGACTGGTCAATTCGTTCGCGCTCTAGGCGGTACTTTCCACTTGGATTGTTTTCGTTGTCGGGTAGGTGATTCATGTGTTAATTTTGAAAACGTTGCTGATCTTTTCGCAGGATTGTGGAGAGATAGTAGCTTCGAAATTCTTCCCAGTCGACGAAGAAAATGGCGAAGGTCAATATCCCCTGTGCGAAACCGACTACTTTCGTCGATTAGATTTGATATGCCAGAAATGCAAAGGTGCTCTTCGAGGATCGTATATCACAGCTCTCGACAAGAAATACCACATCGACCATTTCACATGCTCTGTATGTCCTACAGTATTTGGCGCCCAGGATAGTTACTACGAGCACGATGGTCAGGTCTACTGTCATTTCCATTACTCCACGCAGTTTGCACAACGATGCAATGGATGTCAGACGGCGATTCTCAAGCAATTCGTGGAGATTTTTCGAAATGGTCAAAACCAGCACTGGCACCCTGAGTGTTATATGATTCACAAGTTCTGGAATGTACGGCTAGCTTCGTCGCAAGAGAGACCCGAAAATGCGCGTCTACTGGAAGATGTTACAGATGAAGAAGGTCGTAACGCTGTCAGATTGGAGGAAGAAAGAATGGAAGATAAGGTTTATCGAATCTGGAGTGTTCTTTCGACTTTCGAAGAATCCTCTGCGGCCTGTATCTCAGACATGCTTCTTCATGTTAGCAACGGTGCTTATGTCGATGGGGTTTTGACTGCCAAGAAGTTCATCTTACATGTTGACATCCTCTTCCGCTCTGCAGATAAGCTCGATGCGACAATGGCTAAGCTGGGTCCAAAGGGTATGAAACATGTTGAGATTTTCAGATTATTGAACTAACAAGTAACAGGTCTGTCTTACGCAAGGGAAGCAAAATTGCTGTGCAAGAAGATTGTGGCATTCTTTGCTCTTCTGTCGAAAACCCAGGAAAGCGGCGTTCGAAAGCTCGGTGTTACTCAAGAACTGTTGGCACTTGTTACTGGCCTGGCACATTATCTGAAACTCTTGATTCGGATATGTCTTCAAGGGGCTTTGAAGGTTGAGCGAGAACAACATACATCTGATTGTCTCCATGTATTTTTGGACGATTTGGGCGATATGGAACTTATCAAGAACGACGACCGGTCTCTGGAAGCTACCACTGGAACACCTAGCCTTGGAGCCCCCAATTCTGATGACTGCGTCACGTGTCGGCGAGATATCGAGGATGAGTGCGCACGTTCTGGTGAGCGAAGATGGCACCGAAGCTGTTTACAATGCACGAATTGTGCACGAGAGCTTGGTCAAAACCTTGAAGATGCCAGATGGAGCAACCAAGATCAACGTGTCTATTGCAACAACTGCGAAGGCCGGGCTCCTGGTTCTATTGGCGGTTTTGAGCGTGTCACGAAGCTCCAGCAATACGTGTTCCTTCTCCGAGTCGCCCTTGCAAGACTCTTGGATATGCTACGCAACAGCGGTGCTTTGCCTCATACTTCCGACGACCCCAACCTGAACGGATACAATTCTAGCGAAGGTTATCGGTTACCAGCAGATGCTGACCCACCACTTCTCAGATCAGATACTCGATCAAAATCTTTCGGTGGCAATGCGGATGAGAATCGAAATTCGTCGACGTACGAAAGTGCTCTGAATGATGTTCGTCGCTTGCGAAGTACCCGAATGGATAGACACCTCTCGTCAAATATCAAGAAGGCAAGAACATCACGAATTCTTGATGGCCCTGAAGGTCGTAGTGCCAGACCAGGATCTTCGGGAGCTGATGGGTCAGACTCGAGAGACCCTGGCTTCAAGATCGTAGAAGAGCGTGATGGCAACGGAGAGGCTCGAACACAACTTATGTTCGGTCGCGAAGATGGAATCACCTTGGACGATATCCCCAGAATCATGGCGACTCACCAAGCAAAAGAACAACGCCCTAATGCTTATAAGCATGCTCGAGACCCTTTCAGGAACTCTATGGGTGCAGAGGCAAAGCTGATCAATGGTCATCAACGCAACATATCCAGCGGCAATGATCTTGATCAAGCCACCGGAGAGCCTTCACCCCAGAAGCGCGAAGGCAAGAAGTACTTCTCAGAGCTGTCAGCACTGGAGTACTTCATTGTCCGCCACGTAGCAGTCATCACCATGCAACCGATGTTGGAAGGGCATTTCACCATGGAAGAATTACTCAACTTGATCGAGAGCAGAAAGCCAGCGAATTTCTGGAACAAGATGGGCAAGGCATTCAAGGGCAACGATGGCAAGAAAGGTGGTAAGAAGAAGGGCGTCTTTGGCGTTCCACTTGATGTGATCATCGATAGAGATGGTGCAGATTCAACAGATGGTATTGGACCTGGTGCATTACGAATCCCTGCCATTGTTGATGATATTGTCACTACGATGCGAAAGATGGATCTGTCCGTCGAAGGTGTTTTCCGAAAGAACGGCAACATCAAGCGCCTGAACGATTCTATCGCCATCATCGACAAGGAAGGTTGCGACGCGGTCGACTTTACCAAGGAAAATGTTGTGCAGATTGCTGCTCTACTCAAGAAGTACCTTCGAGAGCTTCCAGATCCGCTTTTGACCTTCAAGCTTCATCGACTATTTATCGCTTCTCAAAAAATCGCAGATGAAGACAAACGACGTCGGGTACTGCATCTCACCTGTTGCTTGCTACCAAAAGCTCACAGAGATTGTCTCGAGATCCTTTGCTCCTTCTTCAATTGGGTTGCTTCCTTCCATCAAGTCGATGAAGAATCTGGCTCAAAGATGGATACGCACAACTTGGCGACTGTCATTGCTCCTAACATCCTCTATACCAATGCGAAGGGACCGGTCGATGATAACTTTCTGGGAATTGAAGTTGTACACACGCTCATCGAGTGCAATGAGCAAATGTGTGAAGTAAGTCGTCCCTCTTCGTCTCTCTTCATCCGTTACTAACAACACTTTAAGGTACCAGAAGACCTTCAGTCCATCTTAGGCGATCAAACACTCTTCAATAATCCCAGTGATATCACCACCAAAGAGATCCTTAAGCGATATGGCGATCTGGGAATGAACGGCGGACCACGACATGAGGTTCAAACAACTGAATTGCCTCATCGTTCGAAGGATGGCAGTGGTCGTGCTTTAGCTCCCCAGGTCACCCGAGTTGACACAGACCCTTCCCAAGCCTACGCTTGGCAGAAGGAAGCCAGCGTTCGACATGTGCAGGAACCTTCAGCACCTTATGGAGGTCCTTCAAACAATTCCCAGCAACAATGGCAAGGCCAAGATCTCGAGCAACCTGCACCGTACGTTCATCGTAATGGTACTCCGGATAGTCAAAAGGATGCTAGACGAGAATACCGAAACTCTGGATGGCGACCACAAAATGGCTCTGTTGGTGTCACTGGTGCAGGATGATTTTGAGTGCACGAACGCTTAATATCGATCATTCTATTTTCCACACGACACCTTTTCTACACGGCCCAATCTTACCTCGAGACCAGGCTCGTTCCACGACCACACTACGACCGATCTCATCCTCCCTTGACGACAATTTGATTTCCTCCAAAGTTTCCCCTGTTCTACGGAACATATATTCAAGCATCCCAGGCGGCGTTAATCTTCTCTTCTTCGGCGAAATTCATCTGCAATTAAAAGCAGCTGTGCTGAGCATTGTATGTGACTTGTTGTTATATTTGAGGCTTCGATCCGTTTATGGATGGGCTGGAATTGTGAATGTGTTTGGAGTACATGGTCTGGCATCTTTGCGAGTGGTTCTCGAAGGACTTCTCCTTAGATGCATGCATCGGCATTATTATTGATGGGTGATGATGGCTGTTCCTCTGATATCTCGTCTGCGCAGTCTCTGTCAGCAGACAAGAAGTCAATAGATAAGTGCATTCAATAAAAAGATCACAAAGTAGTCCTGGTCTCATCTGCTGTGAAAATGTGATCTTCTCATTTCAGATACTAGCCTCAATTACAAGTCTTTCTCGGAGAAAGTTGAGCTCTGCAATCCGGTGCGGTTCATGAGCAAAATCAATTGCCAATTGAGCATGTATGTAGCACCGGATCAGCTTGTTTCCTCTGTCCGTAATTTGGTGACACTAACTTGGTGTTGATTTCAAAGCAGCGATATCAAATTTGATAATCATGGCACGAATCTCTCTTACAGTAGTGTAGTTCCCGTCAAGATTATCAATTCTTCGGCACTTCGAAGAGGTGCTGACAAAATTGTTCGTTTTCGTATTCTTAAATCGTAATTGTCCGTACTCGTATTCTTGCAACAGACTTTTTAAGCATATGTGGGGTGTCTGATTTGGTGGAAAGTTGAAAGAGGAGGGTAAAATAACGAACTTGCTTACAAACTTCGTATCACCCCATTGGATCGCACGCCTTTTCCCCGCAAAATGAGGCTACCCATCATCATGATATATATAATCATCTCCGCGAGCATACGCTTTTAAAATAAAAACATCTCCTCTCTATCCATCAACAACACACTTACACACCAGAACATACTCAATGGCACCAATCCGCGTCGGCTTCATCGGCCTGTCGAAAACCGGCTGGGCACCAGGAGCCCACCTCCCGTATCTCAAGGAAAGCGACAACTACCAAATCGTAGCAATCTGTAACTCCTCAGTCGAGAGCTCAAAAGCTGCTATCGAGACATACGGCCTTCCTACCAGTACAAAAGCCTACGCTGATCCTGAAGGTATTACCCCTCACTAACACGTGAGATATACATACATTAACGAACCACTCCCAGAACTAGCGAAAGACAAAGATATCGACCTAGTAGTATGCAGCGTCCGCGTCGACCGGCACTTCGCCACCATCGCTCCGAGCCTGAAAGCCGGCAAAGACGTCGTCGTCGAGTGGCCTCTTGGCAAGAACCTCGCTGAAGCGAAAGAATTGCTGAAACTTAAAAATGAAGGTGGTGTCAAGAACGCAGTTGTTGATCTGCAAGCCAGACAAGCGCCTGTTGTCAATCAAGCCAAGAAATTGATCGAGAAGGGAGCGATTGGGAAGATGTTGAGTAGTACCTGGGCGGGACAAGCCGGCAGTGGGGGACCGACTAATCCGGTGCAATTTGCTTATTTAGGGAATAGGAAGGTGGGTGGTAATATTGTAACGATTCATTTTGGGCATTCGGTTGATTATGTGCAATATGGTAAAACTTATCACCTCTACCGAAGCGAGACGGGTTGCTGATGGTTTGCTTTAGTGCTGGGTTATGGCTTTGAATCTCCTCCGAAGACGCTGTTAGCTAATACACGCCCAATTGTCAAATTGGTCGACGGTGAGAAGGTGGTCGACGAAAAGTTTTCCAAGGACTCGGACGATACCATTTTCCTGGCCGGGACCCTCTCGTCTGGAATCCCCCTTTCAATGACTCTTCGAGGCGGTACACCCTTCAAAGGCACTCCTGGTCTGGACTGGAGGATCTACGGCGAAACAGGAGAAATCAGGATAACTTCCTCTGGCCCTTTCCTCAACATTGGGTACCCGGATATGAAGATCCAAATCCATGATTTCGAGAAGGATACTGTTGAGGATATACCGCTAGAGCAAGATGAGTTTGATGAGGGAGGGAAGTATGGGTTGCCGGCTAGGAATGTGGCGAGGGTTTATAAGGCGCTGGGCGAGGGGAAGAACAATTGTAGTTTTGAAGATGCGGTGGAGAGGCATGCGTTGTTGGACGGGATGTATAGGGAGAATGGGATTGATGCTTGAAAGATAGGGGATTTGGGGACGCATTTAGGGAAACAAACAGTATGAAAAATGAAATCTGATTGGCTATTTTACTATACTGCTTTCGAGATGGCCCCGTATACGCTTCTGATGTTCAAAATAACCAGAGAATGATGCGAGGAGGTGGCTGGTGGCTCACGAGGGATTTTATCGTTTGGAAGTTGGGAGGCATTCGTGTGGAGAAAGTTCACTTAGACGTCCCAATGTCTTCACATGATAATAAGGCAATATTGCAAAGGACTTTCACTGATCCTGATAGAAATGGCCAAAGTATTTGATTAAGATTCGCCATTGAGTAGTGTCTTCGAAGTCTTTACGTAAGCTTTCAAGAAAAGTCCGCGGACAAAACAAGGGTACGTCGGCTTTACTGCACCATTTAACCAGCTACTCCATCCTAAAGCATTTCACAACACCGCAATCGAGTTTATCCCCGGATTTCTCTCGTTTACATGAGCCTCATATCAGGTTTACATTTCAAATTCACATATTTCTAAAAGATTTCATCGCATCTCACGCCCATAGCAAATATGTCCGCGGCGGAGACCACCAGCTCGACGACCATATATATCACTATGGCAAGAGACAATCTTGCCTGTCAAGCAGGTTCTCCAAATACTTAACTCTCAAATCATCAGCATTCAAACCTAGCTATTTAGAATGGCAATCCCAGCATACCTCGGCGTAACCTACATCACGCCCATCCACCACAACATTTACCCCTCCATCGACCCCACCTCACATTCCCTCGCACAGCCCGAGAAAGTGGTCCTGATCACCGGAGCTAGCAAAGGTATTGGTCGTTCCATCGCACTTTCGTACGCAAAAGCAAATGTGGCTTGTCTTGTCCTCGTTTCCCGGACCGCATCTGATCTAGACCGTGTCGTGGCGGAAATCAAGGCTTTGAATACGGAGATCAGAGTTAGAACTTTTGCTGTGGATGCTACTTCTGAAGATGGTGTTCAGAGGGTGAAGGATGAGGTTATTAAGGAGGAAGGGAGGTTGGATGTTCTGGTCAATAATGCTGGAGCTAGTACTCCTTGGTGAGTTCAGTCCCATACTCAATTGCAAGCCCTTCAAGACCCTGGAACCAGGAGCTGTCATGACGAGCTGTCATGAGGAGCTGATACGAAAATATCAGAATTACCATGAGTTTACAGTCTCCCATATTATCTCTGAGGTGCTCAATCATGCACCTCCTTTCTACAGTGCTAATTCGTGGAGCAGGGTCCCAATCCCCGAATCTCCAGCTTCGGACTACTGGCGAACATTCGAGATCAACGTCAAATCTCCGTTTCTGTTCCTCCATGCTTTCCTCCCTCTTCTAAAAGAGACTGGAGAAAAGACTGGAAAAGGTACAGATATCATCAACGTCTCAAGTATTGGTGCTCATGCGACAATGCCTGGAGCTAGTGCCTACCAGGTCAGCAAATTGGCATTGCTGAGATTGAGTGAGTTTGTGGATGTAGAGTTCGGGCAAAATGGAGCTGTCACAGGGGTCCGATGTGTTGCGATTCATCCAGGTGGAGTGAAGACAGACCTCACAGCGAATAGTTCGGAGGCTGTGAAGAGTTGTAAGTTCTCCACTTCTTGGAGTTGATTATAGTTCAGCTGACAACGCTTAGCATTGGTTGATACTCCAGAGCTTGCTGGTGGGTTCTGTGTTTGGTTGACAAGTGAGGATCGAGCATGGCTGAGGGGAAGATATCTGAGTGTCAGTTGGGACGTGGATGAATTGGAGAAGAAGAGGGAAGAAATTGAGGGCACGGATAAGTTGAAGATGAGGATGGTATTGTGAACGTTTACAAGATGATGTTTACGAAATCGATGGTGCTTATTACACAGATGGGCATTGATAATTGTAAAAAATTGATAGAAATGGAAAAGCATCCTTAGCAAGACCCCGAGCTGTTTCCCGTTGCGGCCACCAACGTCCTAGCTCACTAACTTACCTTTTCTACCAACTTTAAAGCTCGCCGGCTCGAACCTCGCAAGCAAACACCGATGACATGACAGTATCCGTCCATATTTGCCCTCATTTTAAAACAAGATCTGCGAACTGTTGGAAAGATATGTAATCATACCGAAATTATCGCCGAAAAAGTAAACGTTTTGGAGTTTCCTTATGGTAGCTTATATCCGATGATGCAGGTGGGACTTTAAGCATCCTTAAATCCGACATGATTGGACTTTCTGCCTCGATCATGAGGAATTAATGGTAAATTTCGAGGAAGTATATATGCTGGTGATCTTGATTACCATCTTTAGAGAACTTTTCTTTTCACTTTGAACAAATTGTCAATACTTTTGCCCCAAATACACCTCCTTCTGGTCCTTACCACGTGCTTACCCCTCCATCGTCATCATGCCTCCTCCAAGAGGAACTCCAAACCCCATTGAAGGACCAGGTTTGGGTTCATACTTCCATCTGATATGAAACATTTCTGATAGAATCCAGGCGACTACGATGTCACGACCATCGTCCACGACCACAGCTACCCCGCCATCTCAAACCTCACCTCCAGCGCAACCCACGCTGGAAAATCCGTCTTCATCGCCGGCGCATCTCGAGGCATCGGTCTCGGAATCTCCATCTCCTTCGCTCAAGCAGGAGCTTCCCAAATTGCCCTCGGCGCCCGCTCGAACCTGGAATCCGCCAAGAAAGAAATCCTGGCAGCTGCAGCAAAGGCCAAACGACCCGAACCAAAAGTCCTCTGTGTCAAGATCGACATCACGTCTCAATCTAGCACCGAAGAAGCTGCTAAGCTTGTGGAGAAAGAATTCGGGAAGCTGGATATCGTGGTCAATAATGCTGGCATCTTCCCTGCGCCGGCTTTGGTAGCGGATAGTGATCCGAAGGCGTGGTGGGAGACGTGGAATGTTAATGTCAATGGACCGTATCTTGTTACCAGAGCCTTTTTGCCTTTGCTGTTGAAGGGAGGAGATAAAACTATCATCACGACAGGGAGTGTGGGCGCGCATTGTATAATGCCAACATTGAGCGCGTATCAGCCTACGAAACTGGCGGTGTTGAGGTTCATGCAATTCGTTGCGAAGGAGTACGAAGATCAGGGCGTGGTGGCCTTTTGCATTCATCCTGGGAACGTCATTACAGACATTGTCGGCGGCGAAGAAGGGATACGTCCTGAGTTGAGACCAAGTAAATTTTTCGTGGATTTTAGAAGAGCGATGGCTGACTTGAGGATAGTTTTCACGGAAACTGCTGATTTGCCAGGAGATACTCTTACTTTCTTGACCAGGGAGAAGAGGGATTGGCTTTCCGGACGATATATCAACGTTACTTGGGACATGCCGGAATTGATGGCAAAGGAGGCGGAGATTGTGAAGGGAGACAAGCTCAAAGTAAAGTTTGACTTCTGAGAAGATCATATTCCAATTCGATGTCGTTTTCGAGCTGTACATTCGGGAATCTGTGCCGGCCTTTTGAACTATCTTAGTATTCTGACTTTATAGTTGTAAGTTCAGCCACTAGGTCGGAAGAAGTGGTTCAAGTGGGAGCCGTCTGCAAGAAAATCAAGGGATGAGGCTCGTACTCCACATTCAACCTGAGAAGATTCTCTCCAATAGTTACACGGCATTCTTGCCTGCGTCTCTTTCTTGTTCCAGCATTTGAATTCGTATTCAGTCGCCAATGACAGCAAGGCAATCCATGAAGACTCAAGGGCACGGAGTTCCGTGAACACATATTTCATTTTGCAAACCACAAGTTGCCATATTTCTAAGCTGCAAGGGAGCCAAAATTAAAGAATGTCAGAAGGAACACTCTCATTGGCAGAAAAATGTCAGAAAGAAGTGCGGAGCACCAGCGGCCGAGCTTAGCGAGCGCAAATCTACCCCCCTTTTGTCAGCCACCAGCCATACACGTGATATGAAGTCTCCATAGTGTGAAGGTAGCACGAAGTAGCTTAGGTGCTTGGCTTAGACGTACAAATGAGTACAGGAAGGTACAATATATAAATCGTCCTCTCGTTCCTATCTTCCTCTATATTCTCACTACACACTCATCTCTCTTCCTTTCAATCACCTCTTCAAAACAGATATCCTACCTTATATATTTCCAACTTCTAACTTCCAACTCCACCATGTCATCCGAACCCTCAAACACAGCCATAATCCTCATCCCAGGATCCTTCTCCCCACCCTCATTCTTCCACAAAATCGTCCCTCTCCTCTCCTCCCGCGGCTACCTCCCTCTCCCCACCGCCCTCCAATCAGCCGGCTCGCGTCCCCAAGGCCCCGCCACATTCGCCGACGACGTCGCCTACATCAAATCCACCATCCAAAAGCTAGTCGATGAAGGAAAAGACGTCGTTCTAGCAATGAACTCCTACGGCGGCTTCCCAGGAACAGAAGCCACGCAAAGCCTAAGCAAGAAAGAGAGACAAAGCCAAGGTCTGAAAGGAGGTGTAATCGCTTTAGTCTACCTCGCAAGTTTCCTACCAGGCGTAGGCGAGAGTCTGCGCGAGAACATGGGAGACGATCTCCCGGACTCGATCAAGAATGCCGGGGACTACATGACGATGAACTACGAGGAGGATTGGAAGAACATCTTCAACGATCTGCCGGAGGAGCAGGCGCGGTATTATATGAATCAGATGCCGGTTCATTCCACTGTTAGTTTGTCGGGAAAGTTTTCGTATCCGGGATATTTGTATATTCCGACGACGTACTTTTTGACGGAGAAGGACAAGATCATATCGCCGGAGAATCAGGAGGCGATGGTTGAGAAGGTGAGGGGGTTGGGGGGTGAGGTGAGGGTTGTGAGGTCAAAGGCCGGGCATGTGCCGATGTTGAGTGCTCCGGAGGAGGTTGTCGAGGTTATTGTCGGAGCTGCTAAGGGGCAATAGATGAAGTGAGAGGATGAAGAGCGAGTATTTGTGGATGAGATCTCCTAGAGTATTGTTTTCTTAGACCATAGATGTAGATGATGAGCCTTACTTCGGTCACTTCTGTCTTCAAATTACAGTGACAACACTTTGTTGGCATTTTATTCGTCCAATGCTATCAGTCTAAAACAGCGTATAAAAGCAGACACAAGGGAAATTCAACTGACAGTACATATTTGTTCTTGGAAATCCCAGTCCAGAAATAGAGGAATTTAGTTTGAGAATCAGGGAAAAAATCACCTCTAAAACTTTCTCCAAACGTCTCAAAAGGGTTTAACATTGCCATATTTCCAAGCTTCAAAACACTTAGTTTTATTAATGTTTTATTAAAAGTCGTCCACATTCTTGAAAAGTGCGCTTCCCAAGCCACGAATATAAACCCTTGCAATTCTTTGGAATGCATAGAAGGAAAAGCTCTATTATTCTCTCTTTTTTTTGAGTGAAAAATCCAGAATTCTAATTATCACAACCAGCAAAAAGCTCCCTCTTCAAACTTCTCTCTCAAACTCCAAGATAAGATATATCCTATACCAAAGCTTATGCGCAAACTCTCGGCGTTCGCATACCTCAAAACATCATCCACGACGTGACCGGTCTTGTTCCTCGTGTTCAAACCCAAATCCTCCCTTCGAATGGTATCCGTACACTCCATCACGAGCCTGATTCTGGCCCTAATCCTCGAGAACGGGAAAAAAACTTTACCGCGTCAAGATACTTCTGTGATTAATGATTGATTTCCCCGACGATCTAACTATTCCTCTCAACGAGAAAGACTTATTACCTTGTCTTAATATTATAGAACACACTAATTAGCGTCGAACTCCCTCAAATAACTCATTCGAAAACCTTCCGGCACACAAACAATTAACCTGAAACAATATAACGGGGTTATGTATGAAGGACGAGAACTTGGTTAACACGGTCTGTGAGAAAGAGAAAGAATTAATACGAACTCAAGTTAAAAATTGAGAAGATTGGATAACAGAATATTTCCAAAGTTGTCTATATTCGATTAATTAAGATGTAATATATTGTGATAAGTTCCACTTTGGAATTTGCCCACTGATCACGAAACGGATTAAAAGAAAGAGAAGGCAAGAAACGCGATATAAACTTGAGAATGTTCACAGGAAGAAGCTTACGGTGAAAAAATGCGAAAACAAAGGTCCGGGAAGAGACTCATGTTCAACTTTTGAATAGTTTTATAGTTATTAGACATCAGATAGAGTCCTGTGATCCCCTACCTGCCCAAGCCTGGCGCCCCTTCCCGTCCTTTCCTATCCCTACCCTACCCTAGCTTGATCAATTACGCTGAAAAATCAAATCCTTCTCGCTCCCCGTCTCGCTCCTCCCCTCTCCCTCCGGCACACTTGGACTCGGCTTCCTAGACACCACATCCTGCGTCATGGACGTCAGAACGAAGATATCCTTCCCGTTCAAATCATGCTTGATATCCCTCCCCACGGAATCCAGTTCTTCTCCCGCCTCGACTTTCGTGATGGTCCTGTGTCCATCTTCGAGATCGCGGTGTGGACGGCTGGCGATGGTGGAGAAGAGATCTCGAGAGGCGTGGCTTTGCGTTTGGTAAGCTCCTTGGTTGCTGCGGTTTGTGGAGAGGAGGTGTGGGAAAAGGCGGGAGACGAGCGGTTTGATGGTGGGTAGGGAGGCGCAGATTATTCCGACATTTGCTTCGATGTTGGACCAAAGCGAGGCGTCTGCGTTGTCTCCTATGTACTGTCAGTTATATGGATCTTGATAGCAAGGACGGAAACTTACGAGTTATGTCATGAGAGATTGATACTACGTATAAAGAGTGTAGCCTTAACACGCTGATGAGACATACGCTGTTGGAGTTGGTATTGTCCCAACATCAATCGAACCGTAAATAGGAAACTTACAATGCACCCAGAGCAAAAATCATCATCAAACCTATCTTTTGCCTGATGGGAAGTCTCAAACTTTTCAAAACAGGCATGGGAAGCGTGATAATCAAGAGATCCGTGAAGATGTTGAACGCAGCATTGAAGAACCAGAGGAATTTCCTATCGATGCAATGACCCGTGATGCTCAGATCCCAGAAAGCATAAATAGGAACGCACGTCCAGATTGAGGTTATGATCGCTTGAATGAAATATGCAACGACAATGGCCAATGCAGTCCAGCAAGCGATACGGATCCTTGGTCCAACAAACACGCGCAAGTATTGGAGGATAATGGAGGCCTTGGTGCATATGAGTGAGATGTTGTAGAACAAAATGGAAACCCAGAGACACTGAAGTATGATGTTAGCATATGCAGAAAGGTTGGGGCACTAGAATACCTTCAAGATTTCCTCAAAGTCAGCTGCTGAGAGAGTGTTTTGGTGTTTTCCGAGACCATATTTCACTTCTATATAACAGTTAGCCAGGGTATATCTATATAATTTCAATAACCTACGGTAAAGAGTTGATACCATCAGCCCAACCGATGAAAGCTAAACATTCGTCAGTCAGCTCGCCAAGCATGTGATATCCTGCTATTAACTTACCGCTGAAGCAACAATAGCAATCTCATCCCTTCCTCCATTTTTCAACAATCCGATTCTTGCAACGAGTCTGGCAAACACACAAATCAATGCCAGAACCGTGAAGCAGATCGTGGTTATGGCCACCGCCGGGCCGGAAGACATTGCTGGAGAAAGACCGTCTTTGCCCTTCTTCAACGGGGAGTCGGATTATACTTGTTTGTGGCGCCCAAACCCAATCAACACACTTTAGTTTTTAAGACTGAAACCAGCAAGTCTGTTTATCTCGCAAAATCTGGAGAACTGGCGTTGACGTCTTATTTGACTTCGAGCATGCAAGGAGACAACAGCATTCTACAGCCAATGATTGCGGGGATCTGGGGGAAATGCAGGTCCATCTTAATTGGGAATCTCAAGTTGGAGTTCCCCCTAGTCTTCATAAACATGGCGGATAATCGATGGGATTTCCCCAAGCGAAAGAAAAGGAGATCGGAATGCGAGCCATCTAGATGCTGTCCACTAGGCAGGCATGTGGATGGCACTTCACTGGATGAAGTTCCGATCAACAAAGTCCATGTGGTTCAAGACGCGCCAGTCGAAAATGTAGCTGCCAAGTTGTCAGGTTCTTCCCCGTAGACCGAGGGCCCAAGTAACGGAGAGAAGCCTACTTTAGCGTTAGTTGCAGCCACTGAGAGGATAGATTCTAGCGTGGCTTGCGAACGGATCTTTGACAACGGAAAGGGGGCACAGACATTGGCTAATAGATTTAGGAGAGCTTGCGCTATCCGAAAGTCTATTTCAAATAGAGTTTGGAGGAGAAAGCTGACGCGCAAGCGAGGACTGGGGTTGACAGACTCGACAGACTCGCTTGTGGGGAGACATTGCTTAAGTACAGTAACCCTCCCGCTCTGAAATATGGTCATGGTACCTAGCATGATATAGTCTGAACAGGGCTGGTAGTTTCGATTTCTGTTTGATCGGATCTCGGAAACCGAGATCAAGTGTTTGATCATCGACATCACGAAAATAGGTGAGATCTCACCATGAACTGTATCAGAAGCGTTTGTCAAAGCTTGACCTTATTTAACTTTGAAGAAAAGGGTGAGCGTACGTGTGAAATACTGGCCAATGAACTAATGTCGTGTAACTCTTCTGCTTACTGGCTACGATTTTTTGTTCCTTGGAGCACACACGGCAACTCCTTATATGAAAGAGATTGTGCCCAAGGCGTCGTGAAACTTTTCAAGTGACGACCAACACGGGAACAATCTACCTCTCCTGTTGAAACTGCACTGCCATTACTCACGTAGTCCCCTCGAGATTCCGGAAGACTCTCCTTCCAATCTATCAGGACGATTGGCTGGCCTCTAAAAATCGAGGACCTGAGAACAGCTTGGCATCTATGGACCGTGATTCGACCAGTGGTAGCAAGCGTAATGATTCATGATTGGCAGTGATCATCCCTCACACATCCGAACTTAGAGTTTGGCCAAACTCTCCTGTCCCGCTATCAATACTGTAGCATTCATGCCCAATCCTGCAAACCCCGATGGAACGGCCCGTGCACGACGCCATTTCGATAGGTTGAAGGGAAAACGAGGGAACTGGTGGTATCGAAAAATTGGGAGCCCGAGCCAGCCGCACCGCCCATCAAAGGGGCAGACATTAGCCTTGCCCTAATCGATTGATCAGCGGGTGGGATTCGATGGCGTATCTTTCGGCCAGTCTACAGCCGACCGGTTTGTGGGGGAAAGCAGCCGTGCCGCCGTCGACACATGGCTCATGGCTTGGAGAATTGAGACACGGGACGAAATTTGATAGATTGTGTTACGACAAGAAGCGTAAGAATCATTCCGAAAACGAGGTTTGTGGACGGTGAATGCGATTGGATAGCACTCGTAGATGTCTCAGAGGCTTGTTCTGGAATGATGCTATCTCGATTCCATACCGAAGAGGATGAACTAGTCGGGAACGTGGCTGAAAATGTCAAAGAAACGTGTGGTGAGAAATGGGAAGGCTTGGGAAGGCTTGGATATGGCTGATTTGTTTGAATAGGGGTATGTTTCGTACGGTCAAGTATCTGATATCGGAGAATTATCCAAGAAAGCTGAACGATCAAGTTTTCAAGATTGTCCATGTTGGAAGGGGCTAATTCGTCAGCAATCCAAGTCGTTAATGCCTTACCTGCCGGTAGCTGAATGCCGCCACAGAAGTCGTTTAATGTCAAGAACCGGCCTGGATTTTTGATGGGTCGTGTCTTCTTGGCGGGAAGAATATTCGGCAAGATGCTTTCGAGCAGTTCGTCGACTTAGCATCCAGTTCCTATATCGAACTTCTATACTCCTCCGCAGGCCTGGATAGAGACAGAATTCTCCAACCGGAACCATACTTTCACATGCCGTATACAGTAGTATCTGCAAAAACGGACATGCTGTCTAGAAGCAGCTGGCCTCCGACCTTTGATGGTGAAGCAGCCTTGTGGGGAGGAAAGGTGATTGTAATCTAATACGCGCAGGTACGTGCAGGTGAAGGTGGACTTGCGACCTGATACTGCTGATATGGGACCAGGTACTTCTCCAAACTCAAAACACATGTGGACAAGAGTCCATGTCGAGGCGAGGATGTGCGTATGAAATATAGATGTTGGATCAATTGATGTCGTAAGATCTTACATTAGAAGTTGAATGTGAGACAGATGAATTGCAAATGTCGTAGCAGGATCCTTTGATCAAATTTCGCCATGCTGTCGATTTTAGTTGCCGTGATCGTGGGGCACTGCAAGATGAAAGTAAGTTACGATTGATCTGAGCACGAGTCAAAGGTTGGTACAAGTCCGATCCGGATCCACCATCGCCCATGTCGAAGCTTACAAAATCGACACAAGGTATATCCCTCGAGTGGTATTAGTCCTATCAAACTGAAATCAAAGATTTCGTAAGTTGACGTGCTGTAAAACATGCAACTATCAGCCTTCGCGGCGACGTTGGCTGGATCTGCCGGACATGGAATATGGTTTGCAAGAACCGTTATGCACGACCTATATGAGATGTTAGCAATGGACCGGTATGTTTATATTTCAACCCAAAGAGAAATATATACACGAAATGACCTCCTCTCCTCGCCTCAATCACCATCTCGCTCCATCTAAGACCAACTCTCACTCGGCACAAACAACAGCATAGCATCCTCGCATAACCTTCTTCAGCACTCATAGCCACAATCTGGGCGTATAGCTGGATATTATCATCAAAGCAAATTTCCATCGTCCCATACACCATCTATCACAAAGCAACGACCGCATATCCATCCCATCAGCATTCGCTACATACACTCGAAACACCAAGCGAAATGCAACCTTGATGAAAAAAAAGAAAACGGCCTTCTTCCCCGCCGCAGGATCAGATCGCGGCGGCACATCTCGCATTGCAGCTCTCTTGCTCTTAAAAGCACCGGCATAGGGACATGAAGCCGCAGAGGCTTAGACACCGACGAGGCCGAGGGAAAAGAGGGATGGGAAATGCACGATGAATGAATATCGATGGCAGACAGGCAATACGCTTTCTTATCTTACCTATCTATAAATACCATTATGGACCTTCAGCACCGAAAGACACAGAATGCCATTATCCAGAATCTCTGCTTGCATAATATTATCAATCCAAGCAAATACGGAATCAAGATCTTCACCTTCTGTTGCTGTTTCTATTGCACATGTTCTACTCCAGATACGGGGCCTTTCCTGGGGTTCTTGCTCTCTAATCATGGCATTGAAAAGCGTGTGAAGCTGTTTGCCGAGAGGATAACTTCTCGTTTTGGTGTGCGGTGTTGCTAATATTCAGCAGCGCTTCGGTGCCGAGTCTAGCGATTGCCAGGCTTTGGACGCTGTGGCTGATGGGCCTGCTTCCTATGGTTCCCTACGGTGCGAGATCCCAAAGAGAGAGTAGACTGCGGAGAAAGGAGCAGAAAATAAACAGGCATCGAAAACTCTCACGAACGTTGCGGGATGGGTTGACAGTCGAAATGGTCGAGGAAGCAATAAATAGCACCAAAGGCCCACTGGGGACGGGTAAAGCTATTTGCAAAGAATGTATAACTGCAGTAACTTTGTATATTCGTTTCTCATATTAACAAGGGGTTCTATCTTACCCTCTATGTACTTTTATCTGTATACTATATCCAAACTCCTACCCAAACGCCGCCTCCCTCCTCTAATTATCAGAACTAGAACTCTGATCCCCACCATCATCCTCCTTCCTCATAACCCCCTCCTCATACTCCATCGCACCCTTCTCCCCCTCCCTCCCCTTCGGATCTACCCACGCCTCAACATCCTCACAGCCCCTCGGAACCCTCACCCTATCTCTAACATCACACGTCTTCCACAACACCTCCTTCACCTCCCTTCCCACCTTCTCAATACTATCCATTGCCCATATCACATCCAGATGCTCATACTCCTCAATAACCTTACTATGCACCACCCTCACATGCGGCTCCCGCCCCCTCTCAAACCTTCTTAATAATTTCTGCCCATCGACCAGATCATCGCTACCACAAACCCACAGCGCGAACGGTGGCACCTGCTCATCATACCAACTCGTCGAACCTTTCGGAACCCTCGCATGCGTAGTTTTCTTCTTCACCTCACTCATCCTCCTCTCTCTCCCACTATTTTTATCTCTATTCTTATTCTGCTTCGCATAATACGCCTCCATCTCCGCATCCTCCTTCTCCTCATTCATGCCCTCCTCCCTCGTAGCAAGGATACACTTCTGCCTAGCGAAACACTCACGTCCCAACCACCACCGCATGCTCTCCGCACTCACATACACGGGCGCGAACTGAAAACAGCGATCCCTGACCCCGCGATCCCAGCGCTCGTCGCTCCAATTAAACAGGAAATGAAACACCATGTATCCCATCCCGCCGTACGGTTTGGCCGGCAGGTATTTAAGCATGAGCATCATGAAGGGGATAAACGCGTGAATCCCGAAAATGATGCGGAAGAGAGCTGGAGAGATGATACGCATGAACTTGAAATACGCTTTCCCGATCAGCGGGCCCGCGTAGGCGGCCGGGGCCAGGGCACAGAAGACGGTAATCTTGCTGCCGAGATCAGGACGCTGTTCTTTTGCCAGTGCTACCAGCGTTTGCGTGGTTCCTTGGGAATGGGCTATCAGACCGAGTTTCTCGAACCCGGTTTCTGAGAGTACCCGTGAGGTGAGCGCGGGCAGGTCCATTACGCCCATTTGCCGGATGTTCCAGGCCCACATGCGCGGGTCCGAGTAGGAGAGTAAGGTGTGTTCGGGGGTGAAGCCGCAGCGGTTGTTGCCGAGCCAGACGTCGTAGCCGGATTTGCAGAGGTAGAAGGCGAGGGAGGCGTCGTCGTTGGTGCAGTATGCGCCTGCGGACTGCAGCAGGCCGTGCAGCATCAGGATGGGGAATTTGGGTTTCTTGTTGGAGCGTTCGGAGGGTCGAGAGGGGCCTGCGTCGGTGAAGATGTCGGGACCGCGGGCAGAGCGTTGTTGGGGCGTCATGGGTGTGAATTCGAGCGGGTTGTAGATGTGCCAGAGGGTTATGACGAAGCCGTCTTCGGTTTGGACTTTGAATTCTTCCATGTCGAGACCGACTCGCCGGGCGTAGTAGCCTACGTCGCAGACGAGGGGATCTGGACCACCTTCTGTAGGTATAAATTCTGCGTGTGCTGCTTCGTCTTCTGTGTCATCCATCTTTACTCTCGAGTTTCTCCTCGAACGCTCCTTTTTCCAAGCTCTGGCTTCCTCTTTCCGAAGTCTCTTCAACCGCTTCTCTTCCTCGTAAAACGGCCGTCTGGCATCTGGGTTCCGAAATGTGACTCGTAGCCAGATGTGATTAAACATTGTCGGTATACTTGTAAAAATCGCTCCTAACACCACGATCCCTAAGAAAGTCAAAGAACAGAACCACGAAGTTGTGCGAAATGTAAGGCATTGCAGATCCCGCGTCAAGGACGAAGGTCCGTACAACGGTAAAGGAGGAAATAGAGGATTCGTTCGTGAAGGCGGCATTGCTCTGCGAAGAGACCCTTCGCCGGATTTCTGTATTGTTGTCCCATTTTGGGGAGATGGTGTGCTGTGCTCGGGTTCTGGCCGCTCGAGCCCAGAGGCCTCCTCAATCACATCTGAGGGATTGCCTTCGATGTCTTCTTTCAGTCGATTGAGCTTCTCGGCTTCTGACAGCGGTACACCAGGCAATCTGCTTCCATCTCCTGTGACAATGACTGGATCTTGCGGGGTGATGTAGTCGGCGCGAATCGCTGTCCCCGAACCATCTTCATCTTTCTCTGGCTTCACAAAGGACAATTTCTCTGCTTGATGGGTATATTTGATCGCAGCAGTCGGTATGACGGTCGATGTCGTCGATGTCGTCGAAGTCACCGAGGATTTGGAGGCCGCAGAGGCATTGCTCTCAGATCTATCGCCCATGGTTCGTGTCCGTGGGTTTCGTTTCTCGTCTCGTGCCGTTATCGCCAAGAATGCACCGAAGCGGAGAAGTTTAACATGGCAGAACGGTCAATTGAGTGTCGTGAAGAAAAGAAATTATGTACACGCTGAAGAGAAGAGATGGTCGCGGGAACATGAAGCATTGATGAGTTCAGGAATTGGAAACGAGCACGAAATCTTGGTTCTGGCGGTGGACAGGCAATTCGCATTTTGGAAGTGGCAGGGCACGCACTGCAAGGATGGATTCCATGATGTTTGGATTTGGATAGCCTTGCAACTGGTTGCATTTGGGGTTTAGACGTCCTGGACCATTGCGTGTCAGCCATTGGGGCAAATTTCCCGGGCCGTGGGTGGCGTTGAAACGGGCTTCTGACAAGACATCCAAGCCGTCTGTGAGTGGTTTATCAAAGTTTATCGACCTTTCAAGGTGCGTCGAAAAAGAAATGGCAGGTGAAAATCCCAATCGAGATCAACGTACTTGACGTCGTAGATATCGCCATCTTGGAGGTACACATTCATAGATCTTTGGAAACAAACAAATCTCTTATCATAGCATCTTTACCACCGGAGAAGACGACTCGCTGGAGTTTTGCCAGAAAAACAGCATGTTCGTGTTACTGTAAAAGTGACGTCAGATACCGACAGGGGACAAGCTAGGATCGATTCTTCCATATCTGACAGTATATCATGCGGTATATAAAGCATGATTTGAAAAGCTTGGAAACCATAAGTGAAATTCAGCTGCAATGTACCAGAAGTGAAGAGTGTTTGGTAGACAGTAGATAGTCTGACAGGACTCACCGCATGAAACAATCAGGATTGTATTGTAAGACGGTTTGGTGAGAGTCGCCAATCGTTTATCGTTCATCGGACTTAGAATTGTGATTCTGAGTCAGATAGCCAAAATAACTTCTCTTGAGTTGAAACAATTACGTCTTGAAGAATCTAAGGTAGGAAACGGAAATTCTAAAAGGCATATGGCGGAGCGGGGTCGAGCGGGGCGGATCAAGACAGGAATAGTTCCGACTCTCAATATTGGGCTGAGATGTCCAAGAATATAAAGAATCGAAATCCTCTGTCGTTATTTGTTACCAGATGTTGGTTCCAGCGAAGTTGCCCGGTTTTGTTGCACGTCGCTCGCATGTCGTTGGCACTCCAAATATTGACCGGATACTTTTGAAAAACAACAGTCACAAACATGCAAATTTTGAACATTGCAAATTCAAGATGAGCAGCAAACGCCGCTTCCTATTCTTCCCAGCCAGTTGAGCAGAAGGATACAAGGCACAGTCTGTATGTAACTTTCCAGCAACTATCAGGTTGGAAATGGTGGACTATCTCTGCTCTATATTGTACCAAGGAGTCGCAAAGAAGATATGGAGGCCTGTAAATTGATAGAAACAAAGCGAACTACTTGCTAGTTTGTAAAGATGAGAGTTATTAGTTAAGACTCGAGAGTAAGTAGAGTACCTATACTACTCCGTCGTACTGTCATGTGGTACAGGATTCCCTGCCTAGAAACCTGTGCCACCGAATGAAAGTGGCCCATACGAATTCTATGGCGCTTCAAGAAACCTTGGACATGACAAGCAAAGAAATGAGAAATGATTTGTAACAAATCAATTATAATACAATGCTTCGTAATTTGCAAAGGTATGCTGAAAGAGAAGTAGCAATTGGAAATTGAGGTTCGGTACGAAGATTCCGAAGACGAAGAATTAAGGAAAACTTTCCACCGTAAAAGTAAATATTCACGACTTCCATTGATACTCAATTAGTTTCAGATTTCACTCCAAAAAGGTAAAAGAAAGAGCCAGTATTTGTACTTCTCAATCACATGATCTTTAACCCCACTAAACCCATTCCATCACAGGGCTTCAACCTCGGCGTCGATTCTGAACTCAGCCGAGCATCGCATTTTCTTCTCGGGAAGACGCATTGCATAGACGGCGTTTGATCTTGTACTCCCTTACTTTCATCACATGTACATACAACGAATCCCTCATTGTATTCACTTCCATACCAGATCAACAGCTTCCTACGAGCTTCCATCCTCGAAAGCTTCAGAGCATGAACCGGTAGCTTCAACTCTTTGACGCGCTCTGCGCAACAACGCGACCTTCGAGTGCGAATTGTTAGAAAACATACCATGGCAGACCGAATACCAATCCTCCCCAGTCGCAAAAGAAAGCGGAGAAGATTAGATAAATCTGCCATATCTGCCAGACTTGTATTGGACGATCATGTGAAAGGAGATGTTGGCATATTGTCCGAGGATCTATTCGCAGATTTGTTTCCTACAATAGCTGATGGTGAGAATATGCTTCCGAAATGCCCAGACCCGCGACTGACATTGTCATTCTTAAGCTCACGAGAATGGAAACGGACATTCAAACCTTCCAGAGTTCCATCATGTCGCAATATCTCCCTGGGGCCCCTCAGCACTCGTCGAAGATTCAACTTGGTCCGTAGTTCCTGTTCGTCCTTCCAGCGCTCTCGCACATTCGACTGTACAATTCTCCCCGTCGTCTCTGGCACTTCAGGGCTTCGCAGAAGCTCTGCAGAAAGTCGCTCCCTCGAAAATATCTAGTCATAGCAGGAGCGGTATTGAAATCAGGATACTGGACATTATACCTCTTCCGCTGGAGACTGTCTTTGTGACAATCGAGGGCGAATTAGCCAAACGGTTGGAAAATGGAGAAGGAACATTTCATGCAGAGCACACTCGAACAAATGGACTTCCCAATGGCAAATCAACCTCTCAAATACCGGAAGATCGGCTGACTGCTGCATTGAGGGAAGCTCTAGGATCTTTGAAGGTTGTTCATACGGGGGACCTGTTCTCCCTCCCTCTGCCACCACATCCAATCACCCATATTCCACCTCCACCAGCAAAGGTCACTCTCTGTGAACCTGTCGGACAAGGGACATTGTCTGGACGTACCAAGATCATCATAACGCAAACTGGTCATCATGACAAGGGAGTTAAGAAGTCCCCGGCATTACCAGTAAATCGTGTTCTCAATGGAGTACAAGAAGATGACGAAGATACCTCTAACGACCAATTCTATTCTGCTGCTGAGGATCGGTACAAGACCGACGCTGCAATAGAAGAGGACGATACCACGGAGACGGAAGATGAGCAATCAGAGGATAACGATGATCTATCGGATGACTCTATGGACGACATGATTTCATTGCATGCTCCCATGCTACCAGCTCATAATGCAAGCGGGATATCTACGATTCAACCTGGTACTCCGCGAACGGTTGGACGTGGCAGACGCACAGATGGAATCAATACCCCAGGATCTGTCTTTTCCACTTTCACTTCCGCGACACTCCGTGCAGGTGGTCCACAAGGCCGTTTATTTAAAGTTCAAGGGCTCATGCAAACTCTTCCCGAAGCAATGCTTCATCCGAAGCCAAGTTCCGATGATGATGAAGAAGCTCGAGTATTTGTTGATATTACTTCCCTGACTAAAATTGGTTGCTTCTCTGGGGATTGGGTTCGACTTGAAGCTGCGTCTGAACCTCCACCGCAAGGCGGAGGCTTATGGGGGCTTGGTAGCTTTGGTCACGTCGAACAGGAAGATCCTCTTTGGCGTCCGGTCAAGGTATTCGGTCTTCCAGAAAATTACTCTCATCGTCCAGTGACGAGAATACCCAGCAGTAAGCAAGGAGAAAGACGGATGTCGTTCTTTGAGAATCAAGTTAAGAAGCCTTCAAGTTCTACAGTATACTGTTCTCCGATATTGTTGGCAAATATGGAGAATACTCCGTACTGCAGGATCGCGCCACTAAAGCGGGGTCCTCAGCTTATGAAGATCCCACAGCCAAAAATCACTGGTTCGTCAAAACCGCCATTTGCGAGAGAACTTACTCTGCAGAAGATCTCGACACCATTTTCCACCGAACGTACACTGCAAAATGCCCTGTTCGCTGGCTTGAAGCAGTACTTCGCGAGTCGTACACGAATTGTTCGAAAGGGTGATCTCATCGGAATTCCAATTGACCAAGAACTTGGTCGCACGTTATATCAGCCAGCAGGAGGAGATGATCTCGACATTGAAAATCTCCTGTCAAACAGTACAATAGACGACCCGAGGCCATCAAAGCCTGCAAAGGTGACCGGTGTTGGATGGTTTAAAATAGGTTATGTGGGTATCGCAAAGGAAGATGCAGAATCCAGCGAAGACGATGATTTCTGGGGAGGAGTTGCAGCAATCGACGCATCTTCTACACATATGATGCAGTCTGGCAGCGAAAACAGGAGATTACCAGCAACTATGGAAAGCACTTGGGAGTATTACCTTGGACTGAAATCGATGTCTAAGTCCGAAGTAGATTCGACGTCGATGCCAGAACCGAGGAAACATCATGTTTCTGCACTTCAACGACGATTGCGAGAGTTGATCGCGGCTGCAACTAGTCCTCGAGCTATTCATCTGGAATTACAGCCATTGGCCATTCTTCTCGTGTCAACACAACGAAATATTGGAAAAGCTACTATGGCGAGCCGAGCAAGTGCAGACATAGGTCTGCATACCTTTACAATTGATGCATATGACATGGTTAGCGAAGGAGGAGCTGGTAGTGATGTAAAGACAGCTGGACTTCTCGAAGCCCGCGCCGAAAGAGCAATGGCATGTGGATCTGAGTTCTGCTCCTTGCTTATTCGACATATCGAGGCACTCACTGCTGACCGTATGGTTACTACACTGAAGGAGATAGTGGCCAATGCTCGAGTTGTCGTTGCGACTACCACGGAAGTGGATAAGATTCCAGATGGTGTCCGGGGTCTGTTTACTCACGAGCTCGAAATGAATGCTCCTGATGAATGGGAGCGAGAAGGCATTCTCAGAGGCATCATTGACGAGCAACCAGTAGCTTTAGCTCCAGACGTGGACCTTAGTGCTGTAGCTGTCAAAACGGCTGCACTTGTAGCTGGTGATCTCGTTGATGTGGTTGATCGTGCACTCGTTGCAAGGAATACTCGTCTAGAATATCTTGCATTATCTTGCTCTGATGCCGAAACATCTGTTGCGGTGCGAGATGTTCTTGTGGCTGGAGGACCGGCAGGTCGATGTCTAACCAAGGCAGACTTTGAGCTTGCTGTTGAAGCAGCACGCAAGAACTTCGCTGATGCCATTGGAGCTCCAAAGATACCTAATGTCAGCTGGGACGATGTTGGTGGGTTGACGGATGTCAAGGATGCTGTCATGGAGACTATACAATTGCCACTGGAACGGCCAGAACTGTTCGCCAAGGGTATGAAGAAGCGATCTGGTATTTTGTTCTACGGTCCTCCTGGTACTGGCAAGACTTTGCTTGCCAAAGCTATCGCCACAGAATTCAGTCTGAACTTCTTCAGTGTCAAAGGACCCGAATTACTCAACATGTACATCGGAGAATCAGAGGCAAATGTCCGTCGCGTGTTTCAGCGAGCCAGAGATGCACGACCATGTGTTGTGTTCTTCGATGAATTGGATTCCGTTGCACCAAAGCGAGGAAATCAAGGAGATAGTGGTGGTGTTATGGATAGAATCGTATCCCAACTTCTAGCTGAGCTTGACGGCATGTCAGATGGCGAAGATGGCGGCGGTGGAGTTTTCGTCATTGGTGCCACCAACAGACCTGATCTTCTCGACGCAGCTCTACTCCGACCTGGTCGATTCGACAAGATGCTTTACCTAGGCGTCAGCGATACACACGAGAAACAGCTCACTATTATGGAAGCATTGACTCGAAAGTACGTTCTTCTTCCCCTACCACTGTGACCACACTAACAAACCCAGATTCACACTCCACCCCTCACTCTCCCTACCTCGGGTCGCATCCCGCCTCCCATTCACCTACACAGGAGCAGATTTCTACGCTCTCTGCTCCGACGCCATGCTCAAAGCCGTCACCCGCCAAGCCTCCCTCGTTGACTCCAAGATCGCTCAGATCAACAACGAAAATATCGCAGCAGGCAAGAATAAAATCTCAACAGCGTACTTTTTCGATCATTTTGCGAAAGAGGAAGATGTGGCTGTAATGGTCACGGAAGAGGACTTCGTGGAGGCGGAGCGGGAGTTGATTCCTAGTGTTAGTGTGAAGGAGTTGGAGCATTACGGGAAGGTGAGGAGTATGTTTGAGAAGGTTGAGGAGGCGGAGAAGGGGGAGCGGCAGAGGAGTAATGGGAAGGGGAAAGGGAAGGAGAAGGTTGTGGATAGGAAGGGGAAGGGGAAGGATAGGAGTGCGGGGAGGTGGGATGAGGGGAGTGATGATGAGGATAAGGGGTTCTTTGATGAGAGAGTTAATGGACATGGTGCGAAGGGGAAGGGGAAGGCGGTTGATATGGGGTTTCAGCAGGAGGGGGAGGATGAGGATTTGTATTGAGGGGAAGGAAAAATCGATTGTGGGCATAGCTAGGCGGAGTTTAAAATATACCAGATTTGCATGACTTTATGGTTTCTGATCATGGAACGTAAGCTGGACTTTGTGACCAGGAAGTGTTAGATTCTTTGTTCCAACCTTGTTTACAAAGTAATGTTTGTGCTAACCTGAGTAACTGGTATCACTCTTAATTGGCAATGAATGCCCCGCACCATCTTAACACAAATAACTGTCTATTGCTAGAGAAATGTGTATCTAGTCGTTTATTATACTCCACCAACAGCAACAGCAAGAGCCTTTGGATGCTTGCTCCGGGTCAACAAGCAAGTCAACATCAACAAGGAGGCGAAAGGCATCTTCTACGCGGAGAATACCGTTTGTAGTTGGTCACAGATGGTGGGGTTCAAGACGCAGAACAGGATCACATATCCTTGTTTTGTGTTGTCAGCGTTGTATTATTGTTTGTTAACTTATAATCATTGTTAGCTTTTCATTGCTGTTAGTCTTATATCCACCATCATCAACCCTAAACCTCACTGTCAACATCTTTTATTATCGACCTTGAAAATAAAACCCATTTTCATGCAACCAGACCTACCCCCTCCAAAAGTCCTCCAACCAAACCAGAATAAGACACGGCACACCCAACTCTGTTGATCTATTCGACTTAGATACGATTCGACGATGAAAGAAGTGGCGAGAGGGGAGGGGTATTTATAGACGGGAGATGGTTGTGGAGAGGTCGGAATTGGAGTGAACGAGGTTCGGGGTTCGGGATTGAGGTTATGAATCAGTGAGTTGTGAGTGCGAGGACATATTCACTGCCAAGCTTAGAGCTTGGAATTTTAAGGGGTGGGGTATATAAGAACTAATTCCTCCACATTTTGGAAATCAAACAGACCGATATCAGATTCGCCATCCTTCCAGAACTTTGTGTTACTTTTCTTGGGTCGTGTCTACTTCAAGTTCTTAGATATTATCACGTTTAAAGAATGTTCAGTGTTAATAGGTAGACTGCGCTGTTGAATGTGTGGCAATGCTATTTATGGTTCTGGTTGTTAATTTTTTGATTTTGTTGTCAAATTCCTCCTAGCTATTATTGTTGACCTTCTAACCACTATTTATCGCTAACTTCTTATCTATCGTCGTCCGGACCCCAAACCAAACACAACACCCCAGAAATCTTTAATTCGCACCGAGATATATCCTTCCCTCCTCACACCAGGACAGGACATGGAACAAGCCTCATGCATTGCAGGCATCCGACGATGAAAGAAATAGCGAGAACGGAGGGGTATTTATAGATGAGAAATCTGCTTTGCAGTGGGAATGAGGTCGGAATTAGAGTGAATAGAATTTAGCAGCAGATATGGTATGTACTCGCTTGCTTGAAAGTTATCGTGAGTCGGCTACATGCTGAGAGGTTTGGAGAGGTGAGGGGTATTCACTGTGTTAGATTCCAAGGAGGTATAAGGTTATCCGGGACGTTGTCTAGAAAGGGCTTACTTATTTTGATGTCTACATACCTACTGACGCTCTTTGTCAGACATGATCATGTCACCATGTTTCCTTTCCATATACTGGAACGGCTCACGGAGGATTGTGCTATTGTGGTAAAATTAGCTTTATATGTGGTGGTGCTGTGTGGAAGACAGTGCTTTTCTTTTGTGTGCTGAGCTTCCTGGGAAGAGATTTGTTGTTGTCAGCCCGATTCTTGCTGTCAATTTTTGTTGCGTTTCTCAACTCTTCTTTTCTTTTGCTCATTTACACGTCACTAAAGTCAACTTCAAGCTACTACCCAGATCTTGCAGCAACAATGCGCACATGCCGGGAGACAAACGTTAGATGGCCGGTCGACAGTTCCCACGCCTTTGAGACATTGTGTATGGTGGAGATTGTGATTGCTCTTCGAATCGAGTAATGGATGTTGGTATTTATACTTGACGAAACGTTTAGAGAAAGAAAGGTTTTGGATTTGATTCGAGAGATGGTAGTGAATCGAGAGAGTGGAAAAAGTGTCGCTGAAGGGTTGTTAATTGTGAATTTCGAGTGAATGTGAGCCAAGCAAGAAAATTTCGGCGAGTAAAGAGAGTGAATAATAGTGTCGTTCGTGTAGCGGTCGAGGAGACTCCTATATAAACAGAGAAGGATTCAGTAAAGATCTCCATAACAAAGACTTGCGCCAATTGCGCATATCATGTTTTGGCTTCGAGCCGGGAGCTGTTGAGTTGTGTCTGGAATTCTTCTTCAAATAGATGCCCGTTTTTTGAGAAGCTGTGAAAGACGAAAATCAAGGAAGAGGTTTAACAACAGCAAAACAATTGACAGCAAAACATCTCAGGAAGACAAAATTGGGAGGAAAAGGCATCTTCGAATGTCACAACAGAGATTCAAATCAAGTACAACCAATATTTATACAAGAACACACACCTAAATACCCCTCACGTCTTCCTGCACAACCTCCCATTCTGCGTAGGAATATATGGAATCTGCCCCGTAATATACCAATACTCGGAACCCACCGCCGTCGGCGCATAAAATAAATCCCACGGATCAAACTCCTTCTTCATCGCCAATAACTGCGGATAATAAGACCCATAAAACGACTGCTGGAAATCTGGCTCGTTGATATCTCCCTCTGCGAAATACGAACCTGCGCCAGGAGACACAGCGCGCCATCTAGCTAGCCAGTCATTGGTCAGTGTTTCACTGACATTTTGGATCTGGGCAAAAGTTGCGTCGGCGTCCCACAGGCCTGGAAGGATGAAATGGGTGAGTGTTTCGCGCCAAGCGGGGTTAACTGAATTGTTTTGGTTGGCGTGCGGGTTGACGGCTGATTTGATGTTATACCCGACTAAGATCGCACCGCCTTCGATGGCGTGGCGGACTACGGCCAGAGTCTCGTTCAAAAGTGTTGCATTGACGAAATTCTCACGAGGAAAGAGACGGCTGCCTGCGTGGTTGGTCCAGCCGCCGACGACTTCGGGAGGGAAAGAAGCATTCCATGCTGGGTAGAGACTTTGATACTCGGTGTATACAGGCGTCACTGCGATACCCAACTTTGCCAGATCGCTGAGATAAGGAGCGACGAGTGCTTGAGTCTGAATCTTGGTCATGTTGGCGCCCCAGAAAGGATCGAATGTAAAGGTCAAGTTTCCAGCCGCGTTGGGGGCGATGTTGAAGTAGCCGTAACTTCCTGCGTCTGGAAATGTAGGAAAATATTTCATGTATACTCCGAGTCCATTCCAGAAGGTATCGGCACTTATAGTACTGCTTATGGAATAACTGAAGGTCATTGTAGTGACTGGGATCTTGGGGTATGCCATGACGACCACTGAGGTTACAACACCGAAGGTGCCTAGTATGGTTAGCAAATACTATCGCACTGTAGAGAATCTACTTACTGCCACCTCCTCCACGAAGCGCCCAGAATAGATCTGGGTTCTCAGTTGCGCTGGCCGTCACAAATTCGCCACTGGGGAGAACGACTTTCATGAAGAGAACCTGCAATCTGTGAGATATAGAACTGGGTGCTCGTGTATAGAATAACTAACCTGATCTGCCGCCATCCCTTTGAGACTGGACATGGGAGAATGCCCTCCACCAGCAATATAGCCACCGGCGATACCAACCGTCTGCAGACACATTAGTAACCAGCATCAAGACTTCTGTTCAGAATCCTTACTCTACATTCTCCACCAACCGCAGTAACATTGTTCTGCTCTGCCAAGAGATACACATCGGCGGTCTCAACACCAGCTCCCATAACGAAAGCAGGCCCACTATACGATCCGTACGTGTAGTCCTTGTAAAACTCAAGACTATCGAGGTTGCGAGTCCAAAGTGACAGAGATCCAGCACCAACCGACTTGTCAGCAAAGTCGTGACCAGTATTCCGGACAACTAGACGAAGGTTGAGATTCCGAGCAAAATTCAGCGCTAATTGAATCTGGGCAACATTCGTAACATTGATAGAGTATGCTGCATAGCCTCCAATTGTGCAGTTGGTGGCTTCGCTTCTCAGTGAAGGTGGGACGCATGTCAGGCCTTCATATAGTGGCCATTGAGCTGATGTAGGATTGGCAACACTTCAAGAAGTCAGTCTTGAGCGTCACTTGTTTCAGTGTATACTTACTGAAGATGTGGATCACTCCACGAACTTGTGATGATAGCACACTCTGTTGCATTATATTCCGGCCAGCTGGTGAAGCATGGAGCTGCGAGAGGAACAGTCTTGATCAATGCGTCACCACTCAAGATATTAAGAATCTCCCAGGTAACAGGCCCCGGCCAATCCGCATCCCCAGGGAAGACTTTGCACTGACTTGTCGAGGCTGCAGTGCTTGTCGGATATTTGAAGAGTGCAATGTTGGTCAAATTCAAGTTCGTAAGGTTGGTCAGGACCGATTGTGTCAATTGGACAGATTCCCAAGCAAAGTTACCCTTTGCGGCGACTACTGCCGCTGCTGGTGTAACCGTTCCCGAGGTTGCCGCTATATTTTCAAATTCAGTCAAGGTCACCTCTAAGAGAATTGGGCTCCAGGGCTCTACTTACGAATAACTCCATGTGCACTATTAATCTGCTGAGCGGAGATTAGGCTTGCTAGGCAGACGAAGGCTACTCCTCGAATTGCCATGTTGAATCAAGAGCTTTGGCGTCTCCTTGTCCAGGTACCGGGTAGGCAATCTTTGGGATGAGGGGTGTAGAAACGAGTAATCAGAAACATGCTGGGTAGTGAGGTAGTCATATACTTTGCTTCTCTCTAGACCTTCTTCATGGAGGCGGGGTAATCTCCTTCCACCCCCGTCTCGCTTCAGCTCTTCATGTCAGGGCAGGTGGAAGGAAGGAGAGACCGCATTGCGTAAATATTGAACTGTCATGGTGGCATGGTGGTAAGCAGCCAGCCCAACCTCCCGGAATCCCGGAATACCTAAGAACAGGCCGGCATGCCGTGCGAGTGTCGGCTTCAAATCCCAGTTATATACAGAGGAAGATGTCAATATTTGCATGCAAGCCCTAAAAACAACCCATCCTGCCGAATCGTCAAATTCGGTAGCGAATGAGACGTGCAGCCACGGGAGCTGCACCGGAAACATTCCCCAGGCGATCATTGAAAAAGCCCTCGCAATGACGGCGCCTACCGCTTCCAGGTGTTTGGTCCGTCATGCCACTCGGCATGCCTTGTTTTCAACTGGCAGCTGAGCTCTCATGGCGTAATGTGCATGATTTGAAGGAAATTCAGAGCGCGGAGGAGGCTTCAATGCGCATGGAGAGCTGGGATACTGATGCATGTGTGCGGCGGGGTGCTGCTGAATCCTTGTCAGGCACAATGCAGGAGATGCTGAGAGAGATATTGGAAAGATGCAGAGAATAGCCGATGCGAAGGGTTGAGTAAGTGATATGACGAGGACGGGATGAGTGTGTAAGCAATAACGAAGCAAACAGCAGTTTTTGAAGGGTAGATGTTTGTACTGCGGGAGGATGTCTTCGGAAGGTTGGTGCTTGAGCTGAAAGATGTGTTCTAAGCGAGGCTGTCGTTAGTCTCAAGCCGGAATGGCTTCATCACCTGATAAAATCTCGAAAGATTTGGGGATTTCATGAAAGGTCAATTGTCTGTTATTCGGCTGTTCTTGTACAGATTTCTAGCGAGGCATCATTAGATTCCTATTGTCAGTGGATATTGACCGTTGCCAAGGAGCCTAAATCTCTTTCTTCGCTAATCTCCAGCCCCTTTCTACCGTACCAGAAACCAACATGCATAGCCGAACCGAAGTATGTTATTTACTGGTATCTCAGGCTGAAGCAGTAGCTATCTAACTTGATTATTGAGAAAGCCACAAATGTTTGTCTGTAGAGCCAAGTCTTTAGTAGAAATGTGTCACGTGAATATTTTCTAACTCCAGAACACTTCGAGGCAGCAAAGCCGAGTGTAAAACAGGGACATTCTTGAGTTGACAAGGAACAAGTGCTTTGTTAAGTTGTGGAATCCCAATATTACTTTTCAAGATAATAAGTCGTACGGTTTTTGGGAGCATTCACCAAACCTTGAGGTCTTGCAATTTTAAAGAAATGAATTATCAAGAGTGAATACATTCGATTTTCACAACCACATGCTCTCACAAAATTCTTCTCAATCCTAAATCTGTATAAATCGTCCCTCTCCGACCACTTCCACCTTCTTGGAAACTATGACACATACTAAGGTGAAGCAGATAACAAAATTGCCCGACACCTTAATCATACTGTCCCGGCCTGTCTTTCAATCAATCAAAACTGCTTTGTTCAAGCGGCGGCGGCGTACAACACTAACGGCGGCAAACAATAAACGACAACAACAAAAGTCTTAACAATGAACCTTTAACACTACTTCATTTTTAGTTGAAAAGCTCTATGATATCTGGATCTTGATAATAGTAACATAGCTTGTGATAGTTTTTAGTTTATGAAGTCCCGGCCAAGAATATAAACACCGGTCACCAAACTTATCCGCCAATCTTAGATCGACCTCTGCTGCGGCATGGATATCTGAGTAGATGTGTAATTTTACTCGAAAGTAGTGCGGGTTATTTATACTTCGAATGCGAATTCGAACTCGAACTCGAAATTGAATTTGAATTCCGCTCTGACTCACAAGAACGAAAACGCGTCATTTTCTGCGGGTCAAAGATTCACTAGAAATAACGATATTCGATACGCTGATTGAATAAGTATAAAGCGCCTCCCTCCTCCAACCTCCTCCACTTTTCTTGCAAACTATCACACTTACCAAGGAGAGGAGAACGATGTGATGTCCCGGCACCTTGTTCTAGTACCTTGTCCCGGCAGCATGTCCCGGTCCCTTGATTCCTATTCTCATCAAACAAAACCTCTAGTTATTCTCGTAAACGGCAATGTGCAATAGCAGCGACGGCAGCAAACAACAAACGACAACATAATCTTGAAAACAACTCACGCAGCTCGCTTTGCTCAGAACATACCCCCACAACGAGCAAGCCATAACGTCCAGCCCAAGGGCCCGGCTTTCCAGCACCGAAATGCCTCTCGTCTCCTGGTGTTGGGATAAGTCCCGGGTAAATGACTATACTGCGGATCGATAAACTTGTGAGTTCAACTCGAAAGTAGTGCGAGGTATTTATACTTCGAATTCGGATTCGAAACTATTATTGACTCACGAAAAATTGTGAAAAAAGCGTCATTTGCCTACTGGTTGGGGATTCACTTGGAATCATCATGGATTTCGAGATGTTATACGAGACTGGGAGTGATTCACTAGAGGGTTGGAAATTTGGGGACGCCGATATCGAAGGGGGAATGGAATAAAAGAACTTTCCCCCTCATCCAAATTTCTTTTGCTGGACACCTTTACAAGATATTGATACGGAGAAGTTCAACTGTGACCGTGGGTCTGAGGATTTGCATTAAGCGCCCGGTCCAATACAAGAGATAATTGCTTAACTTGTTAAAAGCAAATGTCTTTTTCAAGGCTAAGTAACTTGCTGTCAACTTAAGATTGCTGTTAACGTTTGTTGCTTCAATTCCTTGAACAACATTTGAACCATATCTTTGAACGACATTATACCTCTTTCTGAGAATCATACTAAGATGAATCTCTAAACTCTAATTAAACGCCTGCACTGTATCAATGTACAGCTTTTGAACAATAATTCTCTGAGCAAAATTGTTAAACTTTATAGTAATAATAATAAATAAGAAAAGCTTTAGCTAAGATAATTTGCAAATTTGAAAGTCTTTGATTCAGACTAGACATTGACACTCCAAAAAAAATATATAGATCTTGCCCAGATATCCTTAGACATCCTTATTGAGAAGAAATTTTAGACTTTGTAACAAAAAGTCCGAATAAGAAAAGTTCTGTTCTCATTTACAAACATTCAAAACTTCAAAATTCTTTAGTTAAACTAAACATAACAGTAACTAAAACATCTGTTCTGAACTGAGAACATTTAAGTCTTCAAAGTCCTCTACTCAAACCGGACAAAGAACTACCGTAATAGTGTAAAATTCAAACTCACTTGAGCTTCACATACCCATCTCAAGCATGGAAAATGTCTGTTCATATCCAAAACAATCTCATTCCACTATGTATAATTCGTCAGTCAAGCCCGCTCCACGCTCAATTGCCATCTACTCCATCCTATTCACCCATGCATGCCATGCTAAATATCAATCCATTCCCAAACGCCAAATCTATCACGGCAAATCCCTCTCTCTTCCCTCTCCAAACAGATACCCTGCCTCCAAGCAATAAGCGCCGCCGCCAGCCATCCCTTTCTCACTGCCCCAACAGATGACAGCCGCGTCGACAATGCCGCTCAATACACCTTCCATGGCTCCGAGGACACCCCAACCGATGAAACTGGCTACTAGACCGACGACGTAGGCATATGCAGAGCCTCGAATTCCCTTTCCGCCGGGCATAGCAATATCGAGCTGTCGAGCAGTTGCTACCCATCCGCCGAATCCAAGGGCTGTTGCCATGATGAATCTAGTTGCGTGAAGTAGAAGCTTTGCCAGTCTGTATGGTAACAGAGATGAACCGTGATTCCGGGCTTGGAATGATCGTGGTGTCAGGGTGTTCGTTGGGGTGTTTGGAGCCAGGAAGGACATCTGGCTCAAACCACGAGCCGAGTTCTGTAGAGGCTGAGAATGGATCGCAGCATACGTCAAGGTGAGCGGGTTTGTGAGAGCAACGATAGGTGTCGGGATGAAGGTGTAGAAAAAGATGCTAACAACGCTCATCAACCGGCTCGGAAGTACGAGGAGGGGTAGGCGAATCAAGAGAGCGATCAAAGTCGACAAAGAGATCGTGCCGAAAAGGGTCGTCGTAGCATGGGTAGCTGCGGCTGCCACGATCTCCCTCGAGCTTGGAGCTGGGACAACATTTCGATGGAAATACCATTGTGATACTGTTGCTGCTGTAGTTGCCCTCTGGATGCCGCTTATCACGGAGAGTGTCCAGATGTACATCAGTACAAAGAACACTGCCAACCACCAACTCGTTGCATCGATGATGAATTTGGTGACGCTTGTTGAAAGATGACCGCCCAAGAATACTCTCGTGAACATCCCAAGCCAGACCCAAGTCCAAACAACAACCGAAGCCAATGTTATAAAGCCCATCCCGAGGAGCGCTGGATTTGCTGCCAGAATCCTAGACGCGAACTCTAAGATTCCAATGGCTCTGTTGAGAGAGTGCCGTCCTCTGTAGATTGTATACAACCAAGCCAGAGCTAGGATTGCTGGAATGAATGACAACCATCGCATAGCTCTATCTTGAAGACTCATTCCTGCTTCCGAGCCCTTGTAGCTTGCAATGAAGGGATATAAGGAAAAGGATATCAGAATGATTGGTACAGCAATCAGGATTAAGTGTACAAGAATCCTGACATATGACCGTAACAACGCGAGCCATACCAGCGATACTATGACAGAAGCCACTGTATCTACAGCGAACAAATGGAACGAAGCGTGCAGCGTCGAGTAGATTGTGTCTCCGATATTGTTCGAGGGTGTCTCCGTATGCAGGAAGATCAGGAAGAAAGTTGCAAACAGAGCACCAAGACATATCAGGAACAGAGATCCAAAGAAGATATCGTGTTTTGGTGCTTCTCCCAAGGTAGTTGCTATTGTTGCTGGAACGGTCTCTACCGAACTTGGAGGTCGAGATATCCCGGCACCGGCTTGAAATGCAGCCTCCCGTTCCCGATCATGCCTCGAATCTGTAGGTAAGCGGATTGCCCCATGCTTTGGTTTAGGTTGGAAATTCTGGAAGGCAGGCACGCTCTCATCATCTCGGACATCTGCCATAAGATCGTCTGGCGGATCATCATCCTCGATCGTCGATTCAAGCCCAACATCAACCATCTTGTCCTTGCCTTTACTGCTTTCGCTCACTCCTCTCGCGCTCTCGGATTTATCACTTGGGTCCGTCTCTTCTCCGATGGTCCCTGGAGTTCTTCCTCGTTCTCTGTGACTTCGGCCACCACCATTCCAGCTGCTCTTGATACCCCGACCTCTCCCCCGGTCCTCGACAGCTCTTCCGTCCTCATCTTTACTCTGATCCAGAGAGTCCTTACTAGCTTCTGGATCCGTCTCGGAGCTCTCCTCAAGTCTGCTTATGGGAGCGAATGTTCTTCTAGACTTCTGGAGAGCGAAGAAGTCTGCAGTCTCCCTGTCTCGTTCCTCCTCGTCATCTTCTTCTCGGAAGTCATCCAAGGCACTGTGAAACAGAGGTGCGTCTGGAGCTGCTGTATAGCGAGTTGTGAAACCTCCGATGGTCGATAGATTCGCAGACTGGTATGGGTTGCCGTGCCGCGAAGGATATCGTCTCGACGAAGTCTGGAAGGGTTGATTTGCTCGACGGTATCTCTCGTTGGGGTTGTGTGCAGGAGGGGCGTCGGCGTTATCAGGTTGTATGAGCGTGGAGAACCTCGACTGCGATTGTGCTAAGAAGCGTGAAGCATCTGGGAAAATACAGTGTTAAAGTGTGCTCTGGAGCTTGATATGAAGTAGTACTTACATTCCGAGAACATCTTCAACGATTCATGAAGCTAGGAGAGGTAACAGGCAGCTCCGAGCGACTCGCGTGCGCTGATAAGGCTCGTCTCTGACCGCCTGCGCTAAATGTACTGTATTATGGTTCCTTTGTTGTATCCGGATTGCGCAACAAACGGATACGTGGTGTAAGAATAGATGAAGGCGTATACGAGTGTGAGAGGATGAATTAAGAGACGGCGACAGTTGTATCGTGAATAAGCAGTCTGTCTGGTGGTTGTAAGAGACGTGCGTGATTCATCACCGAGTGCCAGGATAGTCCAGGCAGAGCGGAAAACAGTGGCAGAATTGTCACAAGGCGGACGATAACCCACCGACAACCTTGAAGGCAAGACGCCACACGTTTTATTATCCGGGAATTATAAGAAGATGAGAGATGAATACAATGAGGACCGTCAATCGTGATTGTAAGTTGGGAATCTATTTATGTTGGTTCACCGGTCAATAATCTCGAGTCCTGAATGATTGTTGCAGGTGATTCCGGTTGCAGTCAGTGGCAGCTTGTTTTCATGATCAGGCGGCGCAAAGAGACGTAAACCCGCCCGCAAGCTACAAAGACCCACTAGCTTTAAAATCCACTAAGCCTAATGAAGCTGCGACCTCTGGAAGGTCTCAGAGAAAATGCAATACGACATAACTTGATGCTGAGCTGTCAAGGTCTCAAGTGACGATAAGAGCTTTAGCCAGATCGGAATTTTCAAGGGCTTTCTTCTTGACAAAGTTCATGTTCTTGCCGCATCTTCCCTTGGTGCTCCGCCTTACTTATTGATTCTTGCCACCATGGCTTCCTGGGATTACATTGCGAAGCTGGTCTGCATCGGAGACAGTGGCACGGGAAAATCATCACTTACGATACGACTCTGCGAAGGCCGATTTTCCGCTCAGCATGATGGTACGTCCTAGTCTACCCCTTCAAGAATGATAGAGATGTCTTGACTCACTGTTCACTCAGTAACAATCGGAGTTGAATTTGGCTCTCGAATTATGCCCGTTGGCCCTCCTCATACTCCAATACAGAAGCCCGAAATCTCAAGAACTTCTTCAGTAGCAGATATCTCGGAAGGATTACCAGAGCCAAGGCGGAAAGAACCAGAAATCGAACAAAAGCATATGAAGTTAAGTTTATGGGATACTGCGGGCCAGGAAACATACAAAAGCGTTACGAGAAGTTATTTTCGCGGTGCTTCAGGAGCTTTATTGGTGTTCGATATCTCGAGGAGGCCGACCTTTCTCCATGTCATGGACTGGTTGAACGACTTGAGACAGATTGCGGAACCGGACATTGTCGTGGTTTTGGTTGGCAATAAGAGTGATCTTGCAGATGAGAACAAGCGCGAAGTAACTCAAGTCGAGGCGGAAGAGTGGGCCAAGAAGAATGGCGTCCTGGAATATGTTGAGACGAGTGCGAAAAGTGGCGAGGGTGTTGAGATGGCCTTTGGAAGGGTGGCAGAGAGGATATACCAGAATGTCGAAGCTGGAAAGTACGATTTGAATGACCGAAGATCAGGAGTCAAGGGACCTCCTGTAGGAGGAAATAAAGGAGTGAAATTGGGGACGCAGGGAAAGAAGTCTGGCTATGGTGGATGCTGTTGATACGGAAATAGCTGGAGCTGTATATACGTTGCTTGTGCATTGCTGGCGTTGGGAGCAGGTGAATATACCATGAGCATGGAGGGCGTTGAACAATGAAGCAGGAGTTTTCGAGTTGTCGTTGCATTTATTCTCTTGATTTGTGTGTTACTTGACTACTAACGGTCTGTGGAACATTGCCATGTGAATTCGCAGTAGCTATCCCTCTCTGAGCCAGTGTTCAAGAAACGGAACCTCATACCTATGAATCTCATCATGCCACTTTATTCTCCAGACTGGTGTATATTGCAAGCAAGAAGCCTACAAGAGGGATATTCCACATTGTAGGATATGGTAGGATCAGCAGAGTAATCACAGGCCAGTCACGGGTCGGCAACCATCACTTGGCATTCCGTACAAAGTATTTATCAACTCAACAACGTAAAGTCGTTGCCTGTTTGATAACTCAAATCGAAAACAGACTATTCCAGAAGGTCTCGGTCTTGACAGATTCCGAGCAACAGCTTTGTAGCAGTGGCTGAGGTAAAAGGACAAGGAAGCTGAAGTGAATTGTGGCTGAGCACAGATTACGCAGGTGAATGTGGGAGGGGCAATCAGGACTGAACAACTTAACCTTACACCCGCCCGCACTTGCTTATTCTGGCCCCATCCTCACATAAATACCACCGACCCTTTCTCTTCCTTACCATCTCAATTACCAGAAACTTTCAATTCTTCTGCGGCAGGATACAACGCCATGAGCGACTACGGCGCTCCTCCTCCAGGTCCTCCGCCCCCAAAGGTGCCGGAAGGCTGGAAGGCACAATGGAACGATCAATACAAAGAATGGTACAGTGCATCACGTCCTCTATCTGCAGTAGAAGTTCTAACATAACTCTAGGTTCTACGTTAACGTCTACACTAAGAAATCCCAATGGGACCGACCTACTTCACCCATCTACCCACCAAACAATGACGATGCCCCTCCAGGACCCCCACCAGGATATATTGGAGGTGGAGCGGCGGCGTCGGATACGAAACATAACCCTTATGACAATTCACCCAATACCGAATCTGATGCTGAACTTGCTCGCCGTCTGCAAGCCGAAGAAGATGAGCGTGCGCGAGGTTTTGGTGGTGGCTCTTCCAGTGCTATGAACGATTATGCCAATACCCCAATGCCCGGAGGCTCACAATCACCATACGGCCAAGAATTGCCCCCTAGAGAACAAAAGAAGGGCTTCTTGGGCAAGCTCCTAGGTGGTAGCAAGATGGGTGGTGGCTCTAGCCAGCAATACAGACCTCCTCAACAAGGCTATGGTGGAGGAGGATACGGCACACCCCCACCTCAGCAGTACGGTGCCTATCCTCAGCAGGGCTATGGTCAACAAGGCTACCCACCACAGGGCTACCAGCAAGGATATGGTCCAGGTCCTGGATACGGTGGAGGCGGCTACGGTGGTGGTGGTGGCTATGGGGGCGGTTATCAACAACAAGCTCCTCCCAAGAAATCTGGAATTGGTGCTGGAGGTGCCGCTGCATTGGGACTGGGTGGTGGTTTGATTGGTGGCATGTTGCTTGAAGATGCTATTCAAGATCATGATCAGAGCGAGTACCAACAAGGCTATGGTGAGCCCCTCGCTCTTTTTTGTATTATTCAAAAAGCTAACCTTTTACAGACCAGGGACAAGACAATGGAGGAGGTGATGGTGGTGGAGATTTCGGAGGTGGAGACGATGGAGGCGGAGGAGACTTCTAAGCATAGTCACCTCTTCTGCTCTACTGAGTGAGGGAGACGGCATGATATCTGGACCGAATGGTCAAGATGGGTGACGGGCATGATTTTCCTTTGTCAATTTGCATGCATGGCTTCTCCAGATTTTTCACCACAAAAACCACAAACCAATTCAATAAATCTTCAACAACATATCACTCTTACACTTGCTCCCATTCCCCCAGAATCCATCAAAATCAAAGCACCACACGCCAAGCCACCATCTGTGACACCCCACTTCTCCACCCGACTCCCTGTGCAATTTTTTAACATTCTCAAGCCGTCGCACCTTCTCATATCTAGCTCTATGCAATTCGTTTTCTAGTCTTCTTTTTCGTTGCTTTGCCTTGATTTGGTACGGTAGTGACATTCCAAAGCGCTGTTCGTTGCGTGTCGCAGTTTTTAGCTTGCGACTAGAGGTACGGAGGTATGCGGCTGAGGGTTTTGTTTTTTTTATAGTGATTAAGGGTGAGAGATGAGGTTGTTCGTGTTGAGAAATTGTTGTGCTTGTACTTGTGCTTGTTGTGCAATTTGGTAATTGAATGTTCGGGTGAAGTATGCGGTTCTTGATGTTGGGGGGTTGTGAAAGGTAGATATACTTTCACAACTTAGAAGGCAGATTGTCTGCCCTGAGGAGGTGATTTTGAGTAGGAAATAGTTATATGTATTTTTGATTAGAGTGGTTTTTGCTCTTAGTGTTGGGCTGTGGGAAGGTATGGATGTTGGATGTATATATTTATCCTTGGCTTGATAATGTTCGCCTTGCTTTCCATAGTTCGGGACTTGAAAGTGAGTCTATGATTCGGATAGGTTGCGCCTTTGGCTCCTCTCTTATTAAAAGAACTGGGACACTTTAAGTGCATCGCTTTGTCAACATCTCTCTTCTGTCGTCAAGCAATGTTTACTGCTGTCAATTATTCGCCTCCTGCTTATGGTTGGTCAAGGAACGCTTTAGCCACATTGAGGAGGCCTTCATCTCTGAACCCTTTTCAGAGCTTCTTTGTAGCAGGATTTTCATGCTAACTATATAGTCTCAGTCATCTCTTAGATATAAGAACCATAGTACGAGAAAACTTGTAGGGGGAACGCTTCAGTCATATTGACTGGCTTCGGGTTCCTAGCCAATGGGAGACATCAGTGCGAGGCTTGTTTCTCACCTCACTCTGCCGATCCACTTTTCTTTTCTATAAATTGAAGTTGAACTCCTCACTTTGTCATCTAATTTGAACTAGCTTTTGATTGATATACAAGATTGGATTTTCGATACTGGAATTGTAGAATGGCAGGCAATGAATCAGAGCCGAATTATCCTCACCAGAAGGATGGAAAGAATATATTTTGGTACTATGGGAATATCGACGAGGAAGTGACTCCGGAGGTAAGCGCTCCCAAACTGATTAATTATTCGGATATATTCAGTCCTCTCTGTTGCAAATTAGCTAACGAGATACGATAGTTCAGAAAATTCCTCACAGAATATAGCGAGATACCAGATGACAAGATTCTCCCTCATGTGTACGAGATAGTGAGTTTCACACTCTGACCCCAAAGCGACGGGAGCTGATCCGGTCAAGAGAGACAAAGCATGGGCTATTCGTTCTTATCCTTGTACTGGCCAAGGATTGTTCTTGAATTCTTTAATCACAAGGAGTCCTGTGTATTCAGAAGTCCTCGAAAAATTGAAAGCTGGAGGCAGATTGGTTGAAGTGGGAAGCTTTATTGGGCATGATATGAGGAGAATGGTGAGCTCATTTCAATCCATCGCTTCTTCCAGATAGTTACTCACCGAGTATAGGCTTTCGACGGAGCACCATCAAGCAACTTCTACGCCGTCGACATCGTCAATCACTGGGATGTAGGCTATTCTATGTTTAATGACCGCGAAAAATTTCACGCTCACTTCATCGAAAGCGATATCGTGCACACAAACTCACAACTCCAAGAACTAAACGGCACAGTGGACATAATCTATATCTCGAAAGTGTTCCATCAATGGGACTGGGACACCCAATTCGCCGCACTCCGCTCCATCATTGCATTGTCAAAACCTGGAGCCATTGTATTCGGCTTTCATGCTGGAACAATTCAAGGTGGACTTTTGGCTTATTCAAATGGTGGGCTTACGATGTGGTTACATGATGAAACGAGCTGGACGAGGATTTGGGAAGAAGCGGGGAAGGAGACGGGTACGAAGTGGGATGCGGGGCAAGTTTCCATGAGGGATATTTCTGAGATGGCCAGCTCACCAGAATCGTTGGCTTGGTTAGATGGTAATTGTCGGTTGATGGATTTTGTGGCTAGGAGGCTAGAGTGAAGGATTTGTTTGTGTTGGGGTCTCGGGATTCTTTACCCCTTTTGTCCTCGCTTAACATTTGCAACTGTTAGACTTTGTAAGACTGGCCATCAAACCTCACGATTCTCGAAAAACAAGCAAATAGAGATGCCCACGTATGATATTCCTGAACAGGAGTGGATTTAGTCTATGCAAGAGGAATTGAGGGTTTGTAAGAATGGAGACAGGGTTTGAAATCGTATTCAGTAATGGGTTGTTGGAAACATGAAAGCCGATTTCATGGCTCTTTTTGAAGAGTAGTTCAAGATGTCGGCAATGATTGGCAAGGAGTAACAGTAACAGATATGATTATCACTCGCTACTCTGATCGTTTACAACTCGTGGCTAGGAATGACGCTTCAAGAGATACTATTCTGTCGGACATTACAGTTTTACTCAATTTTTCTATATCGAATATAGAGATCTCGACGTTCCGACGGCCATTGAGAAGTGCTCGGCGCATTATCTGATTACCGCAGTACCGGAGAGTACAGCGGATAGCATGATTCACGAGGCTCTTTTGACAGTCATAAACAAAATTTGCAGCACTTTTTGTTCTATGTCCGCTACTTGATTCTAGTGGGTGGAGACGAAACTGAAAGATCGGTTCTAGCAGAATCGAAATTGGCACTCAAGAGTTTCAAAGCCTAAGTCAGTCGGGCAGGCCGAGAAGTGTAGTTCTGCGGGATCTTGTGAATATCAATCCCATTAATTATCCGTTTGAAGCATGAGAGGTCGGTCCGGGCCATTAACAGCCTCCTCGATGACATCTAGGACGCCCAGTTGAACCCCCCATCCGGCAACATCAAATAATACTGGCTTTCCTTGCTCCGTCGCCGGATAGTATTTTATATAAGGAATGACTGATCGTTATTAGAACAAACACTGCCGTAGCACTTCCACTCTGCGATTTCCAGATCTTTGTTATTATCTGCGGTGCGAACGCATGTTACGGTATGGAGGCCATGAGAGCTATCTACTATCCGGAACGGACACAGCTCCTGAGCAGCTCCTATCTAATCTCCTCCATCACTTTCTTCTTTATCACTCTCTTCGTCCCCCACTTCCCCACCCCTATCATCTGCCCGTAGTTTCTCACAAAGTATAAGAAGATCCTCGGCCGCGTTTTTACGACCCACCGACGTTTTAAGATTATGTGTTTTCGTACAATAGATTTCCAAAAATGGAGGATCGACATCGGGTTCATTGCTGGTGCCCATGATGTATTCAAGATACGTAGGGTAAAACGTTGTCGACAGAATAGTCATGTAACACGAGTGTGTTACGATCAAAGGCTGCCTAGGAATGGTTGAGTTACGGTGGGATACAACGTTGAAAACAAGATCACAACATACCACCGGCTGACGTTCATCTTCAGAGGCTCATCCTTCGTTCGCTGCGTAACAGCCCCAATCAGTTCACAAGCGTACTGTGGGATCATCTCTGCCGATATCTTTCCTTTCCCTTCCTCGTCGCTCTGGATGAAGCTAGGTTTAGTCTCCACGCTACAAACATGTTTGCCTAATGTCCACTGCTGGGACACAGTATCAAATTCGTGCCAGATAATGGAGCCGTCATCGAAGCATTTGCTTTTCACCGTATTTTGATTGGCAAGAATGAACTTGGTTGGTGATTCCCGAAATGCAAGCCGCTTCTTTAAAGAAATGGGTTGATCCAAGAAGACATCGATGACCAAGGAGATGAATTCCGCGGCCAGACTAGACGATGCGACCTCAGCTTGCTTCCGCTCTCGTTCCTCGTCCAAGTCATCGTCGTTTGCATTTAACGCCGGGTCATACGCCGATTCCTGCGACGAGGGTTGAGTCGGGGACGACGAGCCGATGCACTCGTGGACTGATTGCTTCGAGGCCTGGTCTGGCAGTTGCCTTGCTTTCAAGGTGCGTTCTGATGATCGTGTTGAGGTTGAAGCTACCGAAGGACGAAGGAGGTTGGCCAGCGCAAGGAAGAATCTGGATAAGTCTCTGAAGTGTGACCTTATCTCTTTGTTGGTTCGATAGAGAATCCTGTCGGTGTTTTTGACAAATTCAGCCCACAAGGAGTTGTTAGACAGTGGCGACGAGGGCGGTGAATTGGGCCAGCGAGGGTCTCTAGTGCCTTTGTAGCAAATACGAAATAGCTCTGTTTCCTCGGAACCCCAATTACTCCCAGACTTGGTGACTGTCTTACGGTCTGCGCGGTGAGTGTACAAAGATATTGAATCGAAGCTGGACGCATGCAATTCCACGTCAACCTTGGGCCGCTCGTCCTCATCCATGTTGGGCTGGGAATTCGAAGAGCTCGACATTTTGAGATTGAGGGTGAGGCAGAAAAGAGAGAGCTAGGGGTAGATAAATAGGTAGATGAAGAAGAGTAAAGAGTAAAGAGTAAAGAGTAAAGAGTAAAGAGTAAAGAGTAAAGAGTAAAGAGTAAAGAGTAAAGAGTAAAGA